AAATTTCGCTCCGTAAAGAAAGGCCACATCTAGAAATTGAATCTTTATTCATTTGAAAAAGTGTAGGTTAAATCTAAAAAAAACATGGCAACGTAAGTTTGAAATTATTTCAAAACATTATCCTTTCATTACTACAAACGAGTGCATTGTAAAATTCTCCCTAGTTTTGTTGTATGCGCCACGTCTGAAGTTTCTAAAGATGACTCATGCTTTCAAATTTTATTGTTTTTTTTCTACTGCAGCACATTCAACATTGTGCAACATCACGTTCAAGAAAAAAAACTTTTGAGGCTTCAAAGGTATAATCAATTCAGCAAACCTTCAAGTCATGAGTCATTTTCCGAGAGATCAATTAGATATTTAGATTGAACAAGACTGCTGGTATATCAGGGCTAGGCGTGTTTTAACATTGCAAAATCGCAATTTAAAAAACCCTCTAGCTTCACAAAAAATGATCACAGAGCAAAATGAGCAGCGCTGAATAGTCGCTTTTACTTGCCGCGTTTAAACAAATTGTTTTGCTTCGAATTTCTCAATTCTTTCTTTACGTGTGAAATTTCTTTACTACTAATTTCAAACTTATGTATTTAACTGAGAGTTCCTTTAACATGGGATCACGTTTTGAGAAAGATATGTATTCCTCGATGCTGGAAAAGATTTCCGACACCAATGTGAGACAGATTTTCGATAAATTATTGACGGATCTGGGCAAAAAAGATGAGATTATTCTAGATCTTGAGAACTAAGTGGATGATTTGGAGCAAAGAGTATCTGCACAGAAAAGGTATTCTTCTAAGGATTGCCTAATTTTGGAGAACCTGCCAATAGTAAACAATCAGGTACCGTTGTCACATCAGGTATGCAATTTTTTGGCCCAATTTCTTCAGTATAAAACTAGCCCGAGTAATTTTAAAGCCTGTCACTTGCTTGGAACGTGGAAAAATATCAATTATCCCCCAGCTGTGATAGTTAAAGTTTTATATTTTGGGGGAAAAAGTGAAATCTACAACAGAAAATCTTGGTTGGCTAACATTCGAAACCCGAATAACAACAAACAAATTTTTCTCAAGGAAAGGCTTCCACCGGCAGACCGTCTACTCAAACAGTACGCTGATGATTTGGGTCTTGTAAATACCAGTCAGAATTGTCAGGTTAAAATGTTTAAAATGGACGACAGAGGAATTTACAAATCTTTTCCCGTTAGTTCGAAAAAGACGATTGATGATATGAAACACTTAGCGACTAAGAAATCTGACAAATTTCAGTCGAAAACTGGAAAATCTACGGAAAATTATAGTGTATCTGATTATGAAAGAAATACGACACCAATCAGAGCAAATAAAATTCAATGGGCGGAGAATATTAAATCTATTCTGAAGCGATTACGTGACTCCCCAAAAAAAGAAGGAGAAAAATTATTGGAGCAATTATGCAAAAACAGAAAAACTCTTTCAGAATATGTTGTAAATCCCTACGAGGAAGGTTCATAGTTATTCATACATTCTTGCATGCTCTATGGGGTTGGGATTGATGAAGCATACAAGAATGTTTGAGCGTGGCTTGCAAGTCAGCGCCTAATTTTTTCTGTTTCTTATTTTTGTTGATAAATGAGTAAATTATATTATCGAGAACTCCTAGATGGGAGACAAGTGGGCGTATTAAATAGCAGTTTTCTTTTTTTCTTGATAATTAGATCTTTGCGATGTCATCATGATGAGTTAAAAATTCTTATTGACGACTTTGAGGTTAAGCCACCAATAATAGCCCTTTGCGAGACATGGCTAACGGACAATGATCCCTTATCAATTTATTCAGTTGAAGGCTACCAACCTATAATAACTACTAACAGAAAAGGTACTCGCGGAGGTGGTTGTGCATTTTTCGTTAGATCGGATTTAAAGGTGTCAAAATTGCCATTGGAATCAGATCTTGAGTTTCTAGCTATATCTGTTAAAAATGAGAAACATTCGAAAAATTTTATTGTTTTGTATAGAAAACCATCTTCTGCACTAAACGACTTTTATGAAAAGCAAGAATCTTTCCTGGATACGGTGGCTACTTGGAAAAACCAAACAATAAAATGTGGTGATTTTAACATAGATTCACTTGATGTTTCAATCACTAGTGAGAATTTTTTGACATTAATGAACTCACATGGGTTTCTCCAACGCAACTTTGAACCCACACGTGTTACATCTTCAAGTCAGTCTTGTATTGACTATATTTTTACCAATTCTTGTTTGAACAAAATAAATACTTTAAAAACTGTAATCAGTGACCATTACTCAATTTTACTTGAAATTGATGACTTTAAAAGTAAAAATGACAATAAAACACAGAGCCTTTTCCGAAACATAAATCCATTGAAAATTGACAAAAACCTGATGGATTTCCTTTTCTTACTACATGAAAAACTCAATAAAATGCAAAGTTCACTAAACGCTGATGAGCAGATAACTTACATTGTAAACAGCTTAACACGTATTTTAGATAAATTTTGCCCATTATCTCAGGTGAATAATAAAGCAAAACCAACTTGGATTACTCAGGATATTAAAAAGCAAATGCAAAAGAGAAACATGTTCTACAAAAAATGGATAATTGATCCAACTCCGACAAATTTAGAGAAATATAAATTGTCCCGAAATTTAACCACATCGCTAATAAGAAATTCGAAACTAAAATTTTTCCAACAAAAAATCGAAAAATCGAAAAACAATAAAAGTATTTTTCAGGCACATAACGATTTCATACAAAGCAAAACATCTGCCAAAATAGAAGTTGAAGCTGATGTCTTCAATCAGTTTTTCGCACAAATTGGTAATAAATTAAGTGGTAAAAAAGTCAATCATAAAATTGCCTTAAGGCATGTTAAATCTGTAACTAATTCAATATTTTCAGAAAATAACAACAAAAGAAGTTTTTGATACAATTATTCTTATTAAAAATAAGGGGTCTTCAGGTCCGGATGGTATAAGTAATCAAATTTTAAAACTCTCGTCGACGGTTATTAGCGAACCTTTGTCAAAGTTATTTAATCAATGTATAAAGCAAGGAACGTTCCCGAATGCACTAAAAATTGCAAAGGTGCTTCCGTTTTATAAAGATGGTAATTGTCAACTACCAGAAAGCTATAGACCAATAAGTTTACTCAATTCGATAAGCAAGGTTTTTGAAAAGATCATTTTTGGCAAAATGTATAAGTTTCTAAGAAAATATCGAATTCTCACACCAGAGAAATACGGATTTCAACCTAAAAAAAGTTGCGCTGATGCTTTATTAGAATTTACCGAGTTCATTCGAGAAGTTATTGATAAACGCTGTTACGGTGAAACATTTTTCATCGATTTTCAAAAAGCTTTTGATAAAATAAACCATGAGCTACTTATTCTTAAGTTAGATAAGTATGGAATAAGGGGTAAACGGAACAAACTTATCCGGAGTTATTTAACTGATCGCAAACAATATAATGCTTTTGACCAAAAAGAATCTCGAATAGATTTTAAAAGTATTTAACATGTGGCGTTCCGCAGGGTTCTGTTTTAGGACCTCTGTTGTTTCTAATCTTTATTAATGATCTTCCGATTGTTTGTAATACAATTAAACCAGTTTTATATGCAGATGATACAACTTTATGTTATTCAAGTACAATAAGGACAAATAAATTTGAAAACGAAATGAAAAATATTGAAAAATGGGTTGATTGTAATGGCCTGACAATCAACTGTAAAAAGAGCGTTTTTATGAGTTTCGGTAAAAATGTTGAAATGATCAATGTATTTGGAGATAATTTTCAATCGAACTACCAATTGCCTGTTAAATATTTGGGATTAAAAATTGACAATAAACTGAGTTTTAAGCAACATATATGTGGCATTGTTAAAAAGTTATCAACTTTCTGTGGAATAGTTTACAAATGTCGTGAAGTTTTTCCGAAAGCAAGTCTTCTGTTGTTCTACAGAGCATATGCTCAATCCGTAATTCAATATGGTACTCTTATTTATGACAAGACATATAAAACTCATCTCGATTCAATTTTAAAACTACAAAAACGCATCACGCGGGCTATATTCTTCAAACGCAAATTTGAACCAATAACGCAATATATGAGTGAAAACAAAATTTATTCAGTCTTTAATATGTTTCTGAAGTCTCTCTTCAAAGAATTATTTGAAATTTTAAGATGCCCCGATAAGAATAGTTTTTTGAGTTTATCGAGCCTAGAAAGGCTTCCTCACACCCGTAGCAAGACTAAAAAACAAATTACAAATATAGCATTTAAAATCAAACGCCATGAAATTCTCTCTTAAACGTAAGCTAGCAATAGCATATAATTTTGTTTTTCAGAATAATTTACTTCCAAAAGATTTTTTCGAATTAAATAAATCAGAACTGAACCGTTTTAAGGAATCTTTTTTCCATAATTATATTTTTGATAATTAATTCTTACACAAACTGCTCTTTAATTGATGCCCACTCTGGAGACTTTATGTCTCTGCTCTTTAAGTTCTCGAGGTGTCCCACTCGATGAGATGAAATTCTCTTTGGGTCACCCTCCATGCCTTATAATAGTATTCATTACTGTTGTAATGTAGATGGTAAATTAAAATTATTATTCTGAAAATGTCTTTTCCAAGTTGGGCTTCGAATAACAATGTTTTTCAGATTCAAAACTTTTCCCTCAAAATTGCTTCAAAAAGTCAAAAATTAGCCAAATAAAAATTTCATCCCAAGTATAAATATTCGCTTTCTTCAAAAATCGGGATGATAACTAATAAATAGATTCTACTTACATTTTTTAGCGTGCTTAATCAGTTTTAATTACAAACAAAATGGGGTCAAACTTTCCCATTCAATTTTCCCATGATTCAGTTGGTGCATTGCCCATAAGTATGGAGTTAAAAACTAAAAACTAAAAAATGTAAAATATGAAATTTTAATTGAGATTTGATTCTAAACAAAAAAGATATTTAGATAAGCTAGACGGCGACTTTTCTCACCAAAAATGGATCGCCAGCCAGTTTGTCTCTGACGAAATTCTGCAAGAAGTACTGGCCAAACACAGTGAATGAAGATATCAGCACTTCCGCGCCCACCAATTTGCCAAAGAACTTAGTGGGAAATCTAAAAAATTCATTGATTATTTTGTGAATGAAAACACAGCCAATATTTAGTAATTATAACTGGTAAATAGTAATCGTATTATTCAATTTTTTTATACTTGCTAGCAGGGGCGGATCTAGGATTTTCTCGAGGGGGGGCGGATTTTCAAAAATGTTTCAAAAATTTTGACGACCTTTTTTTTAGGTCGACCAAATTGACTTTCCGAGCTCTCCTCAAACATTAAAAAGACTATGTTTTGCTCAATTTTTATTCGCCGCAGGCAAAATTTTGAAAAACAGCTCAAAAAAGCCATTTATTGGCAATTTTTAAAAATGTTGACAAAAAATCGTTTTTTTTGGCGCGCGCTCCCCTTCAAAATTAGTATATATTGGCGCCAAAGGCGCGCTTAGAAAAACTTTAGGGTCGGTCGGTTAAAAAATGAATTTCTTAAAAGTACCAAAGGGGGGACCCTTCGGGTCGGCAGAGGGTCGAATCCCTGAGGGTGGAGGCTTCCGCCCAACCCCCCCCCCCCCTAAATCCGCCCCAGCTCGTTAGAATAGCACTTGTAACTTGCGACAGTGGCGTGCGTAAGGAGGCTCCCTAATTTAGGACTCCAAAATTTTGCAAAAGGGCCCATTTTAGGGTACTCTTTAACGACAGCCGTTTCTGACACACCCGATCTCAAAACTAAAATGTCTTTGGCACCAACTCTTACTAATTTTGACAAAAAAGCACATTCCAAATTCGCAATCTTGCTGCCATTTTTCTTACAAAAACAGCATGCAATGCGTAACAGTTTTTCAAATATGGCCATTCTAGGGTTTTTGCAGAACCAAAAAAAGACTCGTAGCCTTGCTAAAACGAGAACCGGTGAAATTTTTTCGGATTTAGTTCTAATTAAATTATTTGAGTTAAATTCAATTTTCATCTGAAATGCTTGCGCGGATCTCAAATTTGTATTCTTTAATGGTTCACTTATGTTTGAATATCTTGATTTCTAAAACAGTACAATGTACTCCGATTTTTGACCCGTATTATTCAAAACTGTCCAAATAAATTGCGTCCACGTAAAACTTCATCCATGGAAGAATTGAGAAAACTTTTTAGCTCATGAAAGAGGTGAAATCTTAAGAAATAGAAGATCTGTCTGATGGCCTTATTATCTCTCCTCAAATTACTTAATTCAAAATGCTCCCTGAAAAAAAATTATTATTAAACTAACACTAGAAGGAAATACGCGCCCCCTAAAGTGTAGAGGAAGCCTCGCATAGTAGCCATGAGCACGGTAGATACATACAGTACGGGCATCCACAATCCCCCCAACAGCAGGGAACCCTGGAATACGAGGGCCAGGATAGAGGTCAAGAAAAGAGGGAACACCACGTACTCCATTTCCTCCTCGCGAGTGAACATTTCTGAAAAAAAAACTTTTTGAGGTCAATGTTTTGAATGGGTTCGAATAATCCTAATTTTCATTTGAAAACGTGAAACACTAATTGCGATAGAAAACTAAATAGTTTTTCTAAATTAAATTTGTTTGAAGACACTGTCATTCATGTATTGAAATCTTTTGGAAACATTTTTATCAGCTGTTATATTTCAGCCGGTTTGGATGTCGAGAGCTGATTTTAAGATTGCTTGATACGTAAGTGAACATTTTTAAGCATACGCCTGTAATAACCACCGAACCCTGTTGATAAAGCTTTTGAAACTTACTTGGTGCAACTTGTTCGTATAAAATTTAGGACGGTGGATCTAAACTTAGTAAGACAGGCTAATCCATGAGTCGCGTCGCGACTTGACAATTAGGCCATCATTTCAAACAGGATGGTTAGTGGTTTGTAGAGCCATATACTAACTGTCGTCTTTTCTGTGTCTGTCCATGACTAGTCCAGCTATAGGACACCAGAGAAAACCAGTGAGCAGGGCATACTGGAACGCAGATGTGTATTTCTCCACGTGTTCTAAATCACATATGAAACATAAGCTAAAATATGAAAGTCAGTGAAAAGTCCAGATGGACTGTTACTTAGGGCAGCCCTAATCTCTTCTACTATTCCCCCTTTTGCAAAATGGGGGAAATTATAGCTCTTTTCCAGTCCCCCCCTTTCAAAATACCGAGTTTTATGTTTGTTTTACGTGTTATTACGGCTAACTGCGTGATGTTACGCTGTAAAGTATGAAGATCAAATCTGTTCACAGTTGTCGATTTGTTCACCACGCCAAATTTCATTGCATTTTGACAACGTTAAATAGACTTTTCAAAATTGAATTTGAAAGGGGGGAACTGGAAAAGAGCCAAAATTATTACTAGGTACAAAATTTGTTTATTTCTAACCGTTGAATTTATTCATTATACGGATGCCGTTTTGTTATTAGGTACCATGGGGGGAAAGCTCAAAAGATCCGGCAGCACAAAAACTAAGAATCAAAGTCAAAAAAGATTTTACGATTCCAAAGGCTGAATTATATCCGACTTTTTTTATTATCTTACATCTGATTTCTATTTTATCCCCCCCTGGTACCTAGTAGCCCGGATGATTAAAAGTCGCTATTTTAGATTTTTTCTTATAAGAGTCTTACAACTTCTGAAAAACTTAGGCTCTAAGAATGTAAGAAAATAAGGATTATTTCTTATTAGAACGTTGTAGGACAAAAATTTTTACCTACAAAACTTACTCAAACTTTTCAGCATGTTGGTTTTATATTATTTTTCAAACAATTTAAAAGTTCTATGCTGTTGTAGAGTACGTACAATAACGAAATTCTTAGGTCACACAACTCGTTTCGCTACATGAGGTTGCTGCAAAGTTACTAGGGTTAGTGTTTTTGCTGATAACTAGCAGTTTCATCTCAATATATGCCTCAAACCAGGGGCGGATTTAGGGGGAGGGGTGGACGCCCCCTCTCTCTCAGGGATTTCACCCCCTGCCGACACCCCAAAGGGGCTCTTTTTCGTTTTCCCCCCACCTCACTCAAACATTAATTTTTTGGTCTAACGAGTGGTTTTACAAGGTTAATTATGAAGACCAAATATGTTTGTCGTGGCCTAATCAGTCTGCATGTCAAATTTCATGCAATGTGAACAGTAACTTCAAATATGAAAACTTGCAGGTGGGGGGGGGGGGCGGAAGGAAAAAGAGCCACAAAGGGTCCCCCCTTTGTACTATTTTGAAAATCAATTTTTGGTGACAGACCCTAAAACTTTTCTAGAGGCGCCTTCGCAGGGGAAGCGCGGGGTAATTTTGAGGGGGGAGCGCGCGCCAAAAAAAAAACGCAACTTTTGGTCAACATTTTCCAAGAAGTGCCTAAAAACGCCTTTTTTGGCCTGGTTTTTCAACATTTTGCCTGTGGCGCAGAAAGTTTTGCCAAAACAGGGAATTTTTAGTGCTTTGGTAGAGCTCAAAAAATCAAATTGGTCGACCTAAAAAAAAGTTTTTTTTTGAAAATGTGCCCCTGCCTCAAACCCACATACATTACATTACGACCGCAGCTAGATTACAAGATTCATTAAAGTTAATTTTTTTTTGTCTCCAAAGTAATTTCGTACCGCTAATTACGTATAATTAGGAGATTTTTTCAAAAAAAAATTTGTGTTTCGAATTTTTTTGTTCAAATTGCATTCATTATAAGCACTATGTAAATTTTTATACGTCCATTTCCATAATTGGTTGAAACCACAAACAAACAATAATACTTATGCATAGTGAAGTTATGCTGCAGTGGAATCCGCAGCTGTAAGTGGTATCCGCAAACTGTGAGCGGAATCTGCAATTTGTAAGCAAAATCCGCAAATTGTCTAGGAAATCCGCAAAATATAGGCGGAAACCACATTAAGTTGCTGTATCTGCTTGCAATTATGGAATTTGGATCAGATAGCCAGATTTACTCGTTGCGAAATCCGCGACAAAACTCACGTGCCGTTAAATTTTACATTCCAGATTTTGGTGAGCGCAATCCCATCAAATTTTTAAAATGGAATCCACTTACATCTACTAATGAGTGTAAAAAGTTGTATATTGTTAACTAACATACAGACCCCAAATTGTGCGCCTATCCAGTGCACTGTTTGGCCTCGTAATGCTTATAAAGAAGTTCTAAGATAGGGAAATTTTTTGTAGAATGGTCTTGCCGGTATGCACTGCCACCCCTTTATAGAAATAATTCAACGATTAAGACTCTGTGGTTTTTGCACGTAGTATATTGTGTCTCCCTTCTATCTTTCTGCAAAAGTGGGTTGTTAATTAAACCTTTTTTCTTGCGTTTTTTTTTCAAAGCAAAGTTTTTATTGCGACTGGAAGTGCTTCAAAAATTAAAACATCAAATGGATCTTACTAAGGTGACAAACACTATGCTTTCGTTTTTTTTATGGTTGTAGTCCATGGTTAAGCTGAGTAATGAGAAAAGAAGATCAAATATGATTTAAACGCTATCTTGGAATGATGAAATGTCGCCAGAATGAAAGAACTAGCTTGAGTAAATTTAATATTTATAAATTGTTAATAACATGGTTTTATTCAGTTGTTTATTACACGTTGTTTATTACCTCTCTTCAACTGCTCACTACATAGCTTTCTTAGTTTTGTTGGTTTCTGATTTTGTTGGTTTCTGATTTTCTGAAATACTCATTTTTGTAAAAGAAGACTGCTGAAAACAGAAAGAAACTTGTTGGCTTCTGATTGTGCAAACTATGACAACAGCTAGCATTTCCGAGTTCCTCAAATGCCCAATTTGTACGGAAACTCTTGTCGATCCTCGGACGCTACCTTGTGGTCACTCATATTGTGGACCTCCTAGAAAATGTCTGGACTACATCAAACTCGAAAGTGACCCCGCCTCGAAATGCGCAGTGTGCAGCAAAGTTTTCCAAGTGAAAGTAAGTGATTTAAACCCACTTTATGGAATTCGGGAAGCAATCGAAGCCTTCTCTCTTGACAACAAGGTCGTTGAAAGAGGACAACCGTGCACTCATGCTGAATTAGAATTTAAAATGTGGTGTAGAGATTGCAGCGTAGCTTTATGTGTCCCCTGTGTTGATGCGTATCATTCCAGCCATTATTTGAATAGCTATAAAGCGGTTTTAAAAGAGCAAGCAGAAAAGATTCTTCCCGAATTAGAAGGTCTAGATTTGCAACTGTATCAAATTTCGAATGAAATTAAGCAGTTGCAATTAAGACAAGAAGAAGTAGAAAAACGAGCTAAGTATAAAACAACTGTCAGACAAATTGCCGCCGGAAACACTGTAAGCCAAAGTCCAGAGTTATTGGCTTTTCTAAATTCAAAACTCACAGATGTTCGACAACACTGGGTTGATAATTTTGAGCGGAAGTCTTTCGAGTTTATATTAGCATTTAAAAATGTACCCTTGCAATTCGCAAATTTGAAAGAAGAATATTCTTTGGATTATCATGTTCGAGATTTCCAATTCCGCATTAACATCGACATAAGGAAATATGATGACAAAGAATGGCTTAGCGCATATCTGAAGGTACTCCCTATTATACCAAATGAAGAACCCTGGAAACTTAAGCTCGAATACAGAATCACTATTCTGAACACAAACGTGGCTAAAAATGTTGTTCATGGATATTTCCCGGATGTGTTTGGAAATGGCGCTTCCTCTTGTGGTTGGAAGAAATTCATACTATACAAGTATATTATTAGTGATCAGAGTGGATTCATTTTTGAGCCTACCACAATAGCTGTCAAAACTGAGATCAAAGATCTCACGCTGCTTTGATTCCAATGACGACTAATGAACCAAAATAAGTGGTCTCTGACATATCATTATTTAAACACAACTGAATTATATCCGAAAGAAAGTCTCAGTTTATTTTGTTATGAAAATCAAAAGACCCATTAATACTGTAATTTTTAAAAATATGTCAGAAAAGCTTCAATTATCAGTTTATCTTGTCGATACCTATTTTGATGGAATTAAAGACTCTATTAATTTGTAAATACTTTGGGAGATTTCATTTCAATCCATCACAACCCCTATTTTCAAATAATAACAAGAATGTACATTTTCCGAATTACAATTAACAAGAACATTATTTTGCCATGTCAAGGATAAAACATTATACATCAAGGATAAAACTCTCACCATCATAGTATAAGGAGTAGTGTTGGTTCTGTGCTGTGAGGTGTTTGACCCAGAAGTAGTATGTGCCAATGTAGAAGTTGCAGATGAAGGAGAGAGACAGGAACCACACCACTTGGAAGATGAAAGTGCTGCTGCAGAAAATACTCGATAGACGGGGACAGGGTTCTGTACACAAACAACACGCATAAACATGGGGATTAAAACGTTATGCTGAAGTTTTTCTTGGAATAATCTTCAATTTTATTCAAAAAATTTTAGAGACAAACGCAAATAACCGTAAAACGGGTTTTTTTTCTCAACTCATCAAAACATTTGTTTAAAACATTTAGATCAAAATAAGTAAACTGTTGTTAGAGTTTAACACTATTTGAAACAAAAACACACCTACAAATCTATTCAAGAAAAAGATTTTGAGAAGCCGAAATGAACTTAAGGCTACGGTAATTTTTGATAAACTTTTTAAATAATAAATTGGATACGTTTTCGACAGAAAAAAAACATGTTGACAACAGAGGTAACAAACACTCACTTATTTGCACTTAAATTAGGCACGTCTGAGGCAAATAACGCGGTAAGCATTCTAACCTCAAAGTTTGAGCAATTTTAAAGTTTTTCGAGACCCACTTTGTCTGAACTACTCAATTTTGTCCTGATCACTCTCAAAGAGTTAAAAATAACGGTGGGTCTTTTTTATATTACAGATTTTTTTTTCACGTAGGTGTTTTTTACATGACTCAGAATCTCAGCATAATTGATTTTTTGTGTTTAAAGTAGGTGGATCAAAAGTATCAGTTGAAAGCTCTGCTCAAATGGTCAGTAGAAGGAACAATCACAGGAAAAACAAATCATTTTTTCCCCTTTTTTTCGCTATAAAAATAGTCCATTTTAAAATAACTTAATTCCATTACCCCATTTTCGCTAGAAAATTAAACCGAAAAGAACAAAGTTAGGTTGTTTATCTGTAATGTCCCTCTATTTCAGAAATAAGTCCATCAAATACAAAATTCTGCTCAATTAAACCTAGATTTTTGTTTTGAATTCCAAAAAAAATTAACATAAAGTTAGTGCTTGCGGTAAGTTTTTTTTTCTGCGATCATTTTATACACAACTATAAATAGATGAACTTGAGATTACTTTGATTAGTATAACTCAGACTAGGATAATCAACGCGTTAGGTACTTTTTCCTTATCAATGCATAGGCGTTAAATCAAATCATCACAATTTGAACTGAGGCAAGCAACTTGCTCTTATTTGCATGCTACCAGACGCAAAACATTTCATAACATCTAATTAACGTAATATGTGAGAATTAAATTCAGAGATGAAAGATTCACCTTGATACGAGCAGCCCTACATCAAGGCCATCCCTGTTATTGCAGAATACCTTATTTCGGCTTCAGCTTATATTCCAAATTTTTGTTCTGAATTTTGAAGTAGAGCTGAAGTTTTGTCTTCGGGTTCGTTTTTAAACCATTGGAGATTTGCAAATTAAGGAATAAAACAATTCTTGCGAAATTTCTTTTTCCTAATGTCACAGTAAGTAAATAAATTGGCTTAAAATGCATTCTACCAAAAAAAAATTGCAAGCAAATTGATCCAAGGGCTGTGCAAAATTTATCATTTATCTTTTCAGAATTGTTATTTTCACAATGACAAAAAAAACAATTATTCAGCCAGTTTTATAAAAAACAAGTTTTGTAATTTTCAAAAACTCTCGTGTGATTTCCTCAATTTCTGATGGCATGGCTTGTTTTAATCAAGAAATTTTGTTTTCCTGAGCTCAAATTTAGGAAGATCTTTTGCGAAAAATTGTGGGAGTTTAAGGATTTACCAATTTACTCAGTTTGGGACTATTAATGAGTTAAATATTTTTTTCGTTCTACTTAAGAGTGAGCTGGGATTTTGTCCGTCTTTGTAATTGCTTAAAGTTGAAATTAGGCCTAGTACTTAGTCTAAATTATACTGTGAGCGAATGATTTCAAACAAAATTCATCAAATTTTTAAAGGGAACATGAATCATTAGAGCTTAGAGGGCAGTCGGATCAATCAAGGCTCCTCCCTGATACGAGCAGTCTTGTTATGTGTGCCAAATTTTTTAGGACTTTGAAAATTTTTATCCTGTTCAATATGCTACTTTTCCAAATTTTAGACCGGGGCTATAGCTATTTTAAATTTCTAGCCGTGTGTAACAAAATTGAACACAGTCATAAAAAATAACAGTTGTCAAAAATAGTTAGTGGGAATGTTTTTTGTTCGAACGGTTCGAAAGGGTTCTTGTAATGAAAAAACAAAGAAAATAGTTCGTAGATGAAGCTCTGAGAAAAAACATCTGCAGAAAGGGCTTCATATCAATAATTTTAATCAAATTGAGCATATAGAAAAACCAGATTGCTCACGTCAGGATTTTATTTCTATTTTGCCGAAATCATCACCTCACTAGCTATATAAATTACAGTATGATGCCTCTAGCATATAATAAAGTATTAAGCAGAACAAATAGCATACCTCAATTCAGTTTAGAGCAATTTTCAAGAGGGTTAAATTGTCACTTACACTTGAATAACCCGAAAAAAATCGCGCATTTTTTATTCCCAAATTGACCTAATTGACAATCTTTGAACCCTCATAATTTACAAAGATAAATCACATATAGCACTTTTTTTATTTCAGCGCAGGACAAAAAAAAGTTTTCGACTGATATATAAAAAACCCTTTCGTCAGAAATTACTAGTTAAAAAGTCAAAATTTGTCTGAAAAAAAAACTAATCACAGGCTAATTATCTTTCTAAGCTGAGCTCAGGACAACAAAAATTTTTGAATGCTAGAAAATACCGGCAAAAATTGCTAGCTAAGTAGTAAAAATTGGTCTGGAGAAAAAACCACTTGAGCATAAATATTCCGTCACTTTCGCAACAAAAACGAAGAAATTTAATAGAAAGGAATCAGCTGCAGGAAAATGAAAGTCATAAAAGGATGTGCCTGATGAAAACTCCGTGCAAAACACTTGTAAACAAAATGTCAGTGACGATTAGAAATTTTAAAATAAAACTTAATAAAACTATTAAATTAAAATAAAACTTAAAATTTTAAAAATTATGTGATTTGCAATAACCTGATTTCAAAAGTAAAATTTCAATAATTCCCGGCAAAAAAATTGAAACAAGGACGCAAAAAAAGTTTTAATTGAAGAAAAAAATTGAAAAAAATTGAATCATTGTAACTTAAAAAAGTGTTATTTCCTGTCTAAGAGAAACGACCTGCGTTAAGATTTGCATTAATGGATCCATTTGATAAGCCAGCGGGTCTATTTTCCCTCAGTGCCAGTTGAAGATTAACATTACTGGCAGATGCCCTTCCGAAATTGTCAGTCTGTATTGCAATAGTACCATTGGCGTTGACATCGTCTGCGTATGATTTGAATCTGGGGTCTTCTGTTACCAGCATCATGCTAAAAAAATGCTACCATCATGTTACCAGCAAAATGCTTTATAGATGATTTCAACCTGTTGCAAAATAAGGATATTAGATGCGATTTGGATGAAGGTTTTGGAATTTTTTGGCGTTTTTTAAGTCAGGCAACTTGCATTTTGGCGCGTTCTTTACACTTATTTGAGTAATCCTATCTTAGATCAAAGCAAGAAGCTTGTTGCCTGAAAGCTTTTTCTTTTTTTGCTTTTTTTTGGCAGCGCTCGGATTATCACTTTGCTCGACCCAGAGAAACTTAACTATTTTTCTTGAAAATGTTATTCCGAAAAAGTGTCAGTTATTTCGATTTGCAATAATCCTTTCCCTTTTCGCTAGTAAAACTATATGGAACGGTTTAAACTAACCAGAGAGAAGTATCGTCCATTAGGCTTTGTTTAAGTTTTTCCAGTATTTAATATTTAATCCAGTATTGCAATTATCAATCTCTTGCCAAAAACAACCGCAGAAAAGCCATGTTTACATCACAGGTGCCAAAGTACGCTGGCGAAATAAACGCCTCAGGATGAAATCCACCAGGACAAAATCAACAGATAAAATCCTCCCGGACTAAATCCTCCATATGACTAAACTCCTTTGTACGAATTCCCACGGTATTTGTGTAAAATCCCTCATGGACAATTGAACAATAAAGCGACTTTAAATTTAAAAAAAAATGATGAAAAACAATAAACAGAAAACAAATTGATAGATGGCCCTGAAGTAAACGTTTTCCACATGTTAGTATCGAATCCCGATTGTCGTTTGGTCAGGTTTCGCGTTTTTTCTGCCTAGAAAATGTCCTCAAAAAATTATTGATGTCGGCAACTTGGCTTTTTCGAAGATTTGCTTGCACTATGTTTCTACACGAAAAAGGGGCAAAATTAAGTTTTACCAACAAGTTTGGTGTTTTTTGTGCCTACCAGGTATACTCAAATTAGCATAAGATGCCGTCAAAAGTTTGGCAACTTTTGAGAAATTGATTGTACCAAGATTCTACGGGTTGGGCAACAGCGATATCAGCTTTAAAGCGTACAGCTATACTGAATTCCTTGTCCTCTCGACACTGGACGGCGAAAGCAAAGTTGACCATCTTCCTACAAACGGCTTGAGAGAAAAGAAAAAAAGGACTTGTGAGTTTAGTGTCCGAACACCAAGTATTGCCTACCGCGTCCAGAAATGTCAAGTATTTTAACAAAAAAAATTTCGTCCACGTTTTGCATGTATTTAACAAGCAGCTACCAATCGAATCCTGTTGGAATTGGTGGCTGACTTCAGTTTTTGTGTCAGACTCTTCGGATTCTTCTTTTGAGTTGAGGCACTACAGACATCTTTTAGGAGCATTATAATCCGGTTTTTACAAGAGTCCATGTAGGTCGCTGCGTTTGCATTGATCTGTTCATTGATGGTATACGTTTCTGTGACAGTTTTTGTGTGGCGAAGACTTGGAAATTCGCCCTTTGATGTCATATGCTGGCTTTGCATTGTCGTTGTGATCGCAGGAGTTCGCATTTTTTATGGATAGAAATTACTAATTTTTTTTTTCTTATAACAATCGTAGTTGTTGTGAAGCGCTTTCTAGCCCCTCCCTTTTGTTACACAATACAACTTTGATTTCGTTTTTTTTTCTAATTTTAAGTGTTATGAGCAAGTCATTAGTTGTAAAATGGACGTGTTAAGCAAACTGAATAAATTTTTGCGTCAAAAAGCAATAGTTTAACTGCTAATGGGGGATTAATTTACCACGGCGCAAACCGATATCGCACTTGTTGAGCTAAACGATTTACTGGGTCTTTATGTGTTGTTAGTTTTGGAAATAAGTTGTTCAACAGACCGCTCTGTACATTGTTCAAAAAGTCAAATCTGGATTCGAAATCACGCTGAAGGGACCAAAATCATTGTTCAAGCCTTCAATAGGTATACTGAGGCCGGCTTTTTATTCAATATACTTTCGAAGTTTTAACTCACTATTTTTGTCAAAGGCGGATTATTGCATTCCAATGTGAATTGAGGCAATTTTTTGGTCCTCCTCTCAGGATACGGGGCGCCCTTGTTGTTAAAATTTGCGTTTGAGTGGAGATAATATGAGAAAAAACGCATGAAATTTTTTTTTTCGAATTTTGGCTCTTTTTACTTACGCTTCCCCCACCTCACGCGAGCATCAATTATGTGGTGTCACGATTCGTTTTACAAGGTTGATTATAAAAATCAAATATAGTTTGTTTTGTTTTAATTAGTCTGTATGTCATTATTCATAACAATCGGGAAATGTGAACAAAATTTCACTTTTGGGGTGAATAAGAGAAAAAGAGCTGAGTTTTTTTAAAATCAGTTTTCTGCCGAACATTTTTTTTTGATTGACTTAAATGTGCACTCGGATCGGTTATGGTTTTGCTCTTGAAATACGAGCAGTATTGAATTTAAGATGCTGGAAGCGTAACGCAATTTTTAATACATGCAAGAAATTAGAATGTGGAGGAATAAATTGTAGGCAAACATGAAACGAAAACACTTTTTTTCTGTCTTTCGGTTTTTCAGTTTATTTGTTAACCATAAAAAAACTCAAATGGTTTTTTTTTCGATTCGTTTGTCTTACCAATTGTGCCACGTGGCTTGATTTTTTTTTGCAATCAAAATTACTCCTTTAGAAGTCGACTGAAAATAAAAATTGATGAAAAAATTCAAATTACAAGGTAAAACTGTGTTTTTTGGGAAATGTGAGCGGAATCTCAACATGGACGCTTCCTTTGATCTTCTTTTGTTCTTTCATTTTTTTTTGTTCCGACAGAATTTTACCATGTTTAAAAACTTGTCTCTGTAATCCAGTGCACAGTTTGGCCTCGTGATGCACATGAAAAAGGAGATGCATGTTCAGATGTAAGTTAACTCAACAAAAAATCAAAAGGAAAAAAACCAAATCGTTCCACATTTATGTATAAAATTAGATTTCCGCAATAATGAGACAAAAGTGGGGGGATTTTGTCCGAGGGGGATTTCATTCTCCTTTTTAAGACTTTTCATGCTATAAATTGCATAAAATGCGTCAACGTGAACAGGTGAACTAATTTTTACAAAGATTTTTTCATGCAAAATGCCGTGTGAACAATTTTAGAACAGCTTTAGTTTGTAATTTTACAAGGGGTGAGACATGGGCCGATGTAGGATTTTCTCGAGGGGGGGGGGCGGATTTTCAAACGTTTCTCAAAATTTTGTCAACCTTTTTTTTGGTCGACCCTATTGATTTTCCCAGCTCTCCGCAAGCACTTAAAATACCCTGCTTAGGCCAAATTTCCGCGCCGCAGTCAAAATTTTTCAAAAAAAGCCAAAAAAGGCGTTTTAGGCACTTTTTGGAAAATTTTGACCAAAAAATTGGGTTTTTTTCGGCGCGCGCGCTGCCCTCTCAAAATAAATATATATATACTCAACAGAGGCACCTTTACAAATTTTTTAGTGTCCGTCACCAAAAATGGATATCTCAAAATAGTACAAAGGGGGACCTTTTGGGTAGGCAGGGGGTCGAATCCCTGAGATGAAAGAGAGTGTTCGCCCCCCCCCCCCCTGATCCGCCCTTGGAGTGGGAAACTGGAAAAGAGTCGTTGAGGGATTTTGTCCCAGGAAATTTAGCCAAAATATTTTTTTTTTCAAAACATTATCCCAAATTTAAGTTCCTTCTGATGATAATGAGATTGTTTTTATTTGAGCACGCGTTTTTGTTCTAACTGATTTAAAAATACTGGTCCGTGGGCTTTTTCCACTCCTCTCTCATTTTTCAAACCATTTCTTGTCGTTGTAGTTTAATGTGTCATTATGGCTAAATGCGTTGTATTACGAGAAAAATAATTAAATGTTTACTATAATTAGTTACCGTACAAAATTGAATGCGCAATGACAACGCTTATTTAGCTTTTAATGCAATTCTAGTGTTGTGAGGATTTGGTGAAAAAGAGACAAAGTCTGACCTGAAGTTGTAAGACTGTGCTTTGGACAGTGTCGGCACCTGTAAGTTATTCCTGTTTGAGCTACCATGATGTGTATTCCTGTTCTGATTATTGGAATGGGCTCCTCCTGATTTCGATTTGTTCTTCTGTTTCGACCCAGATGACTGTCGGCTCAATTCAGTCACATCCAAAAACTCCCTAAACTTATAATATTTATACAAAAAAACTTCAGTAAAAATCAAATAAAACTGGCAAGGCGCAAAAAACGTGTTTCTATTCTAATAAGGAAACGTGATTACAAACCGTTCAGAAAAATACACTTGGAAAAATAAGACACAAATTTAGAAGAAGCTAAATTTTCAGTTATGCATGCGAAATTTGGTTGCGATGATGATTGAATTAAAGTTCTCGAGTTTCTAGCTAAAATCGCCCGGGTTGACCTCCATAGACCAAAAATGCTAATCATACAATTCCATAAACTAAGTCTATTAAAGAATACTAGTCATACAGGTTTCATACATTTGGCTACAATGGTGTCATCGAATTCGCAAAGAACTTTTTCGTGTTTTGGCATAAGAGTTGTGGTATCTTACTAAATAAAATGACAAATAATTCTCAAAAAAAGGTAGTCATACAATTTCCATATATGGAAATTGTATGACTAGCATTTTTTTAATGCGACAATAAACAAAATTTTAAGTAACTTTGAAAAATGGGTTTGTTTTTTTTTCAACCGCAAATCGAATTTCGTACTCAAAAAAAACTTTTTCCAAAACAAAATACTTTGCATGCAATTTTATTTGTTTGTGTTCATAACGTAGTCCCTGATGCATAACAATTGGATTTTTTTTCCGTTTCTCTGAATAATTTTTGTCAAAAACTCTTAAAGTTCTTTTTTTGTTTGGCTTGTTTATGTAAGCGTTGATCAATATCTGATAATAAGTTTAAATTTAAAAAATAATCATTTTTAAATACTTTTGCAAAAACCTAAAAGTTTGATTCTATCAATATATAATTTGTAGAAGAAAGCTCTTATTCAATTCAAGTAGTTTCCAATGCACTGTAAATGCAAGACAATCAAGTCTTTGATGACTCTTGTTTTTAGTAAACGATGGTTTTTGTCACTTACGAACACTTCGCAAAAACTTTCAAAACAAAAATTAAAAAAAAATCAATTTTTGTTGGTTTATGGGAAAATTCAACTAACTTCCTTTTATGACAACTAACTTCCTTAAATGAAAAATTACTTATCAAAGATTTTTCATGCAAATTTCTGTACATATATAAAAATTGAATGACTAGCATTTTTGGTAAACCCGGGTAATTACTTCGCAAAAAATAATTTTTAAAAACAAAAAAAAACATCCGTTTTCTTGAACAGGGACTCGACCCCTCACCAACCAAAAATGTACCCCCTTGGCATTATTTTAAGACATCCATTTCAGACCAATCAACACAATTTTTGGTCAAAATTTTAAACGTTCTATGGATGAAAATTGATTAAATTTGAGTTTTATTGTAAAAGTCTAGAGAAGTGAAAAATAATTGATTAAAATCAATTGAAAATGGGTTAATTTTCTATGATTTATTAAAGCTTTAAAATCCATTGCTAATCAAATATAATCAATTGTTCTTCACTCTTATAGATCTTGAAAATGAAATTCCCTTATAATCGAACTTTTTCCACTTTAATTTTGATTAGTTCGTTGCTGTTCCAGTAACAGATAATGTTCCACCCATATTAGGCAAGACAAAAAACATGAGTTTCGTTTCTTGATGTTTTTGGATGTTTGTTTACTACATTACGAGGCCGAACTGTGCACTGGATAGGCGCACAATTTTGTGTCTCTGTGTTCCTGGATTCCAGAGACAAGTCTTTAAACGTGTTCCATAATGTAAGTGGATTCTACTTACAAATTTTCAGTGGATTCCGCGTACAAATAGCTGTAACGTAAACTTTGTCGGCACATTGATTTTGTTGCGGATTCCGCAACGAGCGAATATAGGTAGTTGTTTTAGATTCCGCAAATGTAAGCGGATGTAAGTAGAATGTAAGTAGAATCCGCAAATATAAGTAGATTCCACAAATTTATGCTTACAATTTGCGGATTCCGCTTACAGTTTTAGGATTCCGCTTACAATTTGCGGATTCCACTTACAGTTGCGGATTCCGCGACAGCTTAAGTTTTTTAAACACATAAATTATTATTTGTTAATGGATTCAACAAAGTGGTTCCGGATTACACACATTTTATTGCGGAGTCTACAAAGTTGCCTGTTTTTGGAGCAATTTTGAGCAACACAAAGTTTTAGCTATTTGTCTGTGGAATCCAAAACAGCAGAGAAGATCAAAGAAAAATAGCAAAGTTGCAGATTCTGCGACAAATCTGATTTTTGCCTGTTGCTGAATCCGCTTATAAATCACAAAATGCACAGTTTGGCCTCGTAATGAAAGTGTTCAGCCCTTTGATAGACAGCAGCGCAAAATTGAAGTCAAGCTTTAGGAAGTAGTCATTTTTAAAAAAAGTCTGAATTCCTCGAAATTTTCACAATCAACCAAACAACTATCCTAATACACATGACTAACTTGGGGGGTGGCCAGGATATCTTTCCAGCTGGAAGTATCTTCAGGGTATTAATCAACAGAAAGCCACAACTGGCAGCCCACGCGTAGAATATGACCCTGGTTGAGATTCCCCAGTCGAACAGGATATTCACAATGTGGGCAACTGATCCAGAGGAGTCGAAAAATCCGTAGAGGAGAGAAATGACAAGAGAACGGCGTTGGATGAACATGTTGCCAATCTGAACAACGTCATTATACGGTTATAAAAAAACACAAAATAGTTTTAAAAGTATAACAAATTTCTAACTATTACAAATAGTATAAAACTAAAAAGGTCAATTTAATGCATCACAAAAATATCATTCTTTTTTTGGAATCAAGCTTTACCTGCCTCAGAAATTAAGGAAACTTTTACCATAATGCCGAACCTTTTTTATGACATAATGGAGAGTTTTGTCTATTATGTGCCGAAAAATTTCATTTTATTAACTTCTAGTTTTTTGCGCTGTTTATACTCCAAAGGACATTGAACCGAGTAGTGAAAACATTTATGAAAACAAAACGATGAATGAAATCATAATATTTGCTCACGTGGACGTTTGTGATCATGAGTCCATTTCCACAGACAGATACAATCACAGAAGCAGGAAACAGAAGCCAAGGAGTTTCTAGAACAATCTAGAAGATTTTTTTAACCAAACCTTAACAATTAAATTTTTGCAAAATGAGTGAAGTTTACCTGTTGAGCTGAGACCGAATAAGATGTAGCCAAAGGCAAGACATATTCTAAACACCAACCAGAGTTTAAAAAACCAACGAAGATACGCTGACATTTAAACGCGCTTTTTTTCTACTATGCCAACTTTTCAAGGACCACCTTGGACAAATTTCATTTTAAATTTCAACTCAATTGTTCCTATGACCCATATCAAACTATCCAAATTAATTTTTCTGGAAAAAAAACGGATATTTAACTTGAAGGACTCTCACTTCAGTGATTTCAGTTTAATCCGGGTCTGAGAATGGTATTTTTCAACATTTTGTTTTACCGACGGCGCAAGTTCCATCTTCACTAAAGAAAAACTAGATTTTAAAAGTGTCCCACATTGTCCTTAAAACAGGAATTGTAGGGAGTAACATCTTGAGCATGCTAAAATTTTGTCAATTTTTTTTGTGTCAAATCTGCAAAAATTTAGAATAAACAAGGATAGCCGGTTTCTGTGCAAGTAGCACAGAATAGAAAGTTCCAACCATCTCGTAGAAAAAAATAGATTTTTTAAAATTGTTCAGTTTAGTGTTGTTTTCAGTGGGTCGTGTGATTCGAGCGTAAAATAATGAAGTAAACAAGATCAAAAACATTTTTTGGAAAAAAAATGTATAATAGAAAATTAAAATGAAAAAAAAACCACAAAAAAAATTTCTAACACTTTTCACGATAATTTTAAGTTTTTTTAAGAATATCTTTTTGCCAATTAAACGCTAATCAGACCATATAAAAGAATTTTTTTTGTTATCAGAAATAAATTCCATCCAATAAGTCTTACAAAAATAAAGTTCTACATAGCGAGCTCAAAATTAGGATAAATTTCAAACCAGTTTTTCTCGGCAATGAAGCAATCTTTTGAAAGTTTTAGATTTTGTTCTTATCACGACTGAAAGGGCTGCAATATGATATATGACTCGACAAATTCCGATAAAATTTTGTGAAACCTGATTTTGCCTGGAAAAACACTAAAAGACATTCGAATACAAAGTTCCTTCCTATTTTCAGCGGTCGGAACAAAAAGTTCGGGTTTTGGTATGAAAAAAAAATCTGAAACTAGAGTCAAAAGCATCCTGATTGTCCAAAAACATCAATTTTTTTTCAACGCAAAAAAAAAATATTCTCATTTTATTTTAAAAATCAAAAACTAGCTGATCAAAGAAATAGAAAAAAAAATCAAGGAAGCTGCTTTTTTATGATTTCAAGGTAAAAATCAAGATAAAAAACTCGATATCACAAATGTCCTTCTCGCGACAACTGGAGACGCGCAAGAAATGAGAATAAGAAATTAGGACTGATTTCAGGCTATCTCGATTCGAGTTAATTCATTCAATCATATACTAAACGAAAGCGCCGCGGAGCTCCTAAAGTCTTGGCTTGACAAAAGCAAAGTAAACGTGTTCTCATTTGTCTGTATTTCGATGTTTTCATTTAGCTGTGGAAGCAGGAGTAATCCTGATATTACTAGTTCGTGCAAGGCTGATATGGCAATGTTTTAAATTTGCCCAAATCAGTTTGGCTTAGTTTTTTGTAACGTTTGGTCAATATAGTAACTTAAGCTAGAATAAATCTGGGTCGCATTTTTTGATTCAAAAAAACTCAACAACTACAAATTCATTTTTGTCACAGTTTATGAAAAAAGAGCGAGCCTCGAGCTCACAGATTTTCTGGAGTTTGTGATGTTTGAAAAATGAGTTTATGACCTACCGCCAAGTTTATAAGCAAACGTACCAGTTGATTGATCAGTGATTTAAAAAACTTTCGAGGATGTTCAGATACTTAACTCTTCTTACAGAGCGTTGGACTGAAAAACGCTATTTACTTTTGCCCCTAATACCAAAAACATTCCAGTGAGTTGCCAGAACAGAGTGACCCAACAAATGGCCAATTTGGGATAATCAACGCGCAATATTTTGCGTGCTTCTGACGCGTAGGCGGAGATTTACTGTTTTAGATTCGTTCCAATTTATTTTCAGGCTTATTTTTGGTATATTTATCACTTTGCTACATGCAAAGTACATGGTTCTACTCTTTAAATATCGACTAGAAGGATAAATAACTTTTTCCCCTCTTTTTGGAATTTTTTTCATTTTTTAAAGCTAAGGCCGCTCCATAGACCAAAAAAGACACTCGGAAAATTCAGAGCTTCGCCACAAGGAGAGCAAAATTGTTTCAAATATATAATGTTATTTGCTCTTTTTAATATGTTACCAGTATAAAAGCTTTTGATTGATAATACAGGGTGTTTCAAATAAACTGTAATTTTATAAAACGCTATAACTTTTTTTTGAGAAGAGATAAATACACAATTTTTTCTGCACAAGATAGATAAGTGGCGGAGATTTGAATATCTGATAAAATTGTTTTATAAAAGATGCTGAAAGTGTCCGCCGTTTTGAGCAACACAGCTTTGTAATCTTTTCGTCAAATTTCTCAATGACTCTTCGATATTATCGGGCGTTATTGTATTTCGGGCATCTTCTACAGTTTGCATGAGTTCGTCAATACTTCGTGGATTCGCAGCATGAACAATTTTCCCCAGATGACTCCACAGCCAAAAATCCAGGGGATTCAGGTCCGGACTCTGAGGTGGCCAGGGTATAGGGGTTCGTCTACTTATAATTCTGTCGTTGAACTTTGTCCCAAGCCAACTGAGTACGCGTCCCGTGCAGTGACATGTGGCTCCGTCTTGCATAAACCATATGCGCCTCAAGTTTCGTCGTTCTCGAAGGACTGGCCAGAGGTCGTGTTCCAGCATGTTCAGATACGAAAACTGGTTCAGTGTTATTGGTCGTTGATGTTCGTCTACGAACCAAAACGGGCCAAGAACAGCTCCTTGAAGGAAACCCATCCAGCACATCACTTTCTTTTTGCCCTGGTACTTGCACTCCGCGTATTCTCTGGGGTTAAATAAACTCCATCTCCTTTCGTTTTGAGAATTTGGAGAGTTGTCGAGCACCCACCACTTTTCGTCTGAGAAAATCACCCGTGATGTGAAATCTGCCGCTGTTTCAATCTTGCTCAAGCACTAGACACCAAAAGTAAGTCTCAAGCCGAAGTTCGTCTCTTTAATTTGGTGTGTTTTGAGCACTTTGTAGGGCTTCATTTTGGCAGCTCTAGCGACTCTCCAAGTTGTGGTGCGGCTCAACCCCAAATCAGCTGCTGCTTTAGTTATTGAATCTTTAGGATGAAAATCAAAGTGTCTTATAATACTAGCATTCGCTTCATCGGTTCCTGGTAACCCCGTTCCTTTTCGATGCTGCCCTTGAAATTTCGATAACCCGCCTCTTTCTTGGAACCGTTTCCACACTCTGATAAACTGCGTAAGTTGAAGTGTTGATGCAACGCGTGGGGCAATGTAATATTCATTGATATATCTTCTCCGAACTTCAGTTGGGGATTCATAAATTGCAAACAAACAAATGATCCGTTTTTCTTCGTTTACTGTGAAAACCATTTCGTTGTTTTCATTTACGTATGAACAAATAGTTTAAAAATTTTTTTGTTGCGTGGAAGCGTGAGATAGTTGGAAAATCGCGGGTATTCACTATCGAGTTCAATTCATCAACGCATTTTTTGAGTTTTATCAAATCTCCGCCTGTTCTACATAATATCACCGAATTTGAAGTCGAACTGATCAACAGTTATGAAATGAGAAGCTTTTATAACATTACAGTTTATTTGAAACACCCTGTAGTTTGAAGTCAGAACACTAAGAGCTTTGCCCTAAAACGAGCAACCGTAAATTTAGTATGATTTTATTTCATTTTGATGGAAAGATTGATAGTTTATTTTCAAGGATTCACTCATAACAAAAGCAATTTTTTTCCATTCGTCAAGGCTAAATAAATATATTTTGGATTATTCAGCATGCTACATGCAATCAAATCTAATCTTTAAGGCCTCAGCTAAAACAAAAAATTGCAAAAAAAAACATAACGAGGCCAAACTGTGCACAGGATAGGCGCACAATTTTGTGTCTGTGTGTTCCTGGATTCAAGAGACAAGTCTTTAAACATGTTAAAACTTTGCCGAAACAATCAAAGAGAATGAGAGAACAAAATAAAAACAAAGGGAGAGTCTTTTTGGCGGAATCTGCTTCTCAAGGTCATCAAATAAAAATTGCATAGAAAAAGTGCTCAAAATTAGCAGATTGCTCTTGTTAACTAATTCTGTTAAAGTTCAATTTTTCGTAAGTCTCCATAATGACATAAAATAGTCACATGAGTATAATCAAAAACGGTAGATTGCTCTCTTTTAGTAAATCTGTTTATTCGAATATTTCACTTTTATTTTTCTTATAATGAAAAAAAGACATTGCATATATCTTTCATCCAGCTCAAATCAAGATTGCTAGCAGCTGAAAATGTTGAAAATTGAGACGTCTGAAAACAGACATAATTTGTCTATTGACAATCCCCCAGTCTTGAATCTTGTAAGATGATTATATATTTGAATATTAATTTGAATAATAGTGACCAATTCTGGAAGCAGTGTATTGTGATTATTATTAAATTAAAGTACTAACATGAGCACAATTTTGGACCTCCGTGTTCCGTATTCATCAAACAGCCACCCAGTGCCCATAGTGGATGCATTTAAGAAGAACAGAGCCCAGATGAAGACCAGGTTAAACATCCTGTCTTGCTCCTCATCCACATATGTCACAAGAGTTTTGTGGGGGAGGTGAGTTGGGTGGGGTTGGTCGTCTGCAGTGAGTAAATGGGGGTCTTTTTACTTATTCCGCCCAAAACAAAATAGCAGCGCATCAAAAAAATCATTGACAAATTTTTCAAATTTGGTTGTGGCTATGCATGTAATTTCAGCCAATCAGATTTGAGCATCGTCAATCCTCGTTTCCATATTTTGATATTTACGAATTTGGGCGGAATAAGTAAATAGACCCGTTGAATGAGACGAAGATGAGTTGAGAGGATGTTGGGAAATGTAGTTATAGTCGGCATCTAAAAATATAGCCGGTTAATTAATTTATTTTCATGTTGCATATATGTCCCAATTTGATATTAAAAACCAAAGTTGGCTGAGTTTGAAATCAAATTTTTACAAGACTGCTCGTATCAGGGTGAAGCCCTGAATGTTCCGACTGCCTCTTAAGCTCTGTAGACTCTGTTTTTCTTATGTTAAATAATACAAACTCTATGATTTTTATTTGTCTTCTTTTTGTTAAAAAAATACACTTTTAACAAAAAAAGATAAAATCATCAGTTCATTTTTTGGATTCCACTTGAAGAAATTGAACAAGATCACTCTTCTTCCACATCTCTGCAAAGGTTTCTAGAGCTTTTCAAACCTCTTTTTTAACCTTTGTAAGACTATTTTAGCTCAATATGCACCACTGCTGTTTAGTAAAGTAAAGAACTAGGCGTGTATTAAAGTATGTAATAATAGTGGCCTTATTAAAAGATGGTTTTTGTTATTTTTAGGATGACTTTGAACCCATTTCATAACCCAATTGGTTGAGAAAGGATTTTGAACATTTTTATTGACCCACTCTTTGACGTCTTGAAGACTATCAAAATTTTCAAACAAATAGGTACAATGATGCTGAAAAACTTTACAATAAAAGAATAAAAAAGTAAAAACAATAAAACTTTTTCACCAAAAAACATGGTAGAATAAGAAAAAATGTATTGGAAATGCTTTCTTCATTGCTCCCAGAAAAGCATTTAACATCTTAGATGCTCCTACTTTGCAGTTGAGAAATCTTTTATGGTATTAGAGGCAATCGATTAGGCCACATAAGAAGTTATTTATAGATCAGGAGGCAGCTTAAGGATACAGGGCTTTTTGCTGCCTCTTATCGTAATGTACCTCAAATGTCTATGCTTGGGTCGCTTTATTCAAATTCTGTATCAATAATCTGGAGTCATTTAGGTTGAGAACAAACATTTTTTTGCAGATAATAACTCTACTTTTGGTAAACCTGAGCATAGTACATGTGCACATTCAGATTCAAACTATTTACTAGCTGAATGAAAGCAAATCGTTCAAATCTTAATAAAGATAATGCAAGTTTAATAGTTTTTAGTTAAGACTTGGGCGGCTTCGACTTATGTTAAAATTGTTAAAAAGTTAGACTCCTATTTAGATCAGAAAAAGTCTAGTTGCTGTCTAGTTGCTGTGGAAATCTATGGGTGCTCAATTATTACAATTCGTCTTTCAGATCAATCAATAGTTAGCCTGATTAATTAGTGGATGTCCGAAGGAAACCCGATGGGATGCTATTGTAGAAGTTCAAAAGCAAATTGTTTGTAGTTTTTATGCAAGCATTCTGATTCGGAAACTTTTCCGACTCTTCTCGAAAAAAGTGACAAAAATTTTGTGCTCTGGGTGGTTTGTTTTTTTGTTCAAACGAATTTCGACCTTAATACTACCAATTTGACGGAATTTTAAATCAATATATTTTGTGCTATTAGTGCGTAAGCGGAGAAATTAATAGTAATTGTTCCAAAACTGTTCCAAATTGGGTTGAGGTATCTTTTAGGTCTATTTAATATATTGCTTAAACCAGACAAAATCACTGAAGAAAAATATTCTCAAGAATATTTAAAAATAAATATTGAAATTTTTCCATTTTTTCCAAATTTTATCAATTACTTAAATTTGAACTACTCAAAAGTTTTGAAGTTTTTTCAAAAAGTTCTATCGAATATTTTGATTTCAAACTATTCCAGAGAGTTCAAAGAAATTGAAATGCAATCGGATCATTCAGGGGTTTGCCCTTATACGAGCAGTATTGTTGTTTTTGTATTTTGGTATGTTTTAGCTTTTCCTTTTCTTTTTGTTGTCCACGGAAAATCAGGTACCACAATTTATCATCGGTGTGGGTTGAGTGATATATCATAATACAGCCTTTACAGTCGTGAACTGAACCACATTAAATTTCCAAAACTTTTCCCAGTGTCACGAAGAACCGGTTTGAATTTTTGATTTTTGTTTTATTTTGAGCGAACAAATGGCTTATAATACCTTATATAAATTGCTTACAAACCTACAATACCATAGTTTTGATCGTAAATAATCAAAAATATTTGAATAAAATTAATTTTTCCAGCGTTTTCTCTAATCAAAAACTTCAAAAACTTAAAACTGCAAAAAAAAGAACGATTTTTGAGAAATTTCTTTAGTCTTTTTTTTGTTTTTACAGTCGTTTTTATACAATTATTTTTTTTTCAATTTGCTTATCTTATTATGACTATTAAAACAGTTTAATCCATATTTTTAGTTCGACTCTTATTATCAAGCCACGCCGAAAATAACGACACTATTTTAAAAAAACTTTGTTTTTGTATCTTTAAGACTATGGTGGTGATGATGATGATGATGATGATGATGATGATGATGATGATGATGATGATGATGATGATGATGATGATGATTGCGTTCTGGACGGAAGTGAGAGTAGTTGGATTTATGGTGCAGATGAACAGGTGGGCGGTGATGTGGGTGTCTAACTCTGGCAGTCTGAAAACAGGTTGGAGGGTGTTCTTGTGAAGCGATTCTCCTAGGTAGGAACTTAAAAGAGGGGAGTAACTGGTAGTCTTGGACCTCGTTGATGTGGAGCGTCCTGATGATCCGCTTAAATTTGTTCTCTGAGAGCCTTAGGTACTCGTTAGTAGGATCGCCCCCGTCGGAGTCTGCGAGTTCATCGACACATTGCTCTTCAGAGTTTGAGTTTGCTTGACGAGACGGGGCGGATTTTCGTTGACTAGCTGGCTTCTGCTGGGGTGGGTGTTGAGGTGGCGAGAGGTCTGAAACTGCGCGGTCTTAAGGCGCAGGTGGCGTCTCACTGGGAGGATTTTGCACCCCTGGTAGAGGTTTTCAATGTCTTTCATGGGGTGCAACTTCTGCTAGCCCCAGTTGGTCCCGGAGAGCGCTTTGAGGATGTAGACTCGTTTGATGGCTCTTGAGGCCGCGTTAAGGCTGTGTTTAAGACTATGGTCGGAATAATCTGTGCTACTTACATATTAACCAGCTATGTTTGTTGCTTATGTTTGTAAAAGAATAAATATAGGTGGTACAGTACAGCTATTTAATTGAAACTTAAGCATATTATAGGTCTGCTTTGGGCCGTATTAAACTACGAACCATTACGTTAAATTGCTAAAACACCACCTTATCCTATTTCATCTATTTCATAGCATGGAAAGGGCATGTGCCTCTGGATTGAAGCCTATTTACAACAAGCCTATTTATACTATTTATACTATTACCAATTCTTTGATAGAGTTATCATTTTGTAAATCAAAGAACCCTAGTTATGACTGGAACTTAATTGTAAATTTACACAAAAAACTTTGTTCGAGAAATTGTTCCGGGCATTTTATCAGTTCGAAAATTTTTCGTTTAGGATATTAACAATTAACTGGTTTTCAAAAACTAATTTTTTCTCAGGAATTGACTACTCCTAAACTTTCTGTGTCACAAACTTCAGGTCTTACAAAATTACGTTGCAGTTTTTTGAAACCTGAAAATTGAGACACCTGAAAGTGGAGGTGAGATGAATTTAGTAATTGAAAACGGAATAATTTTCATACGTATAGTTTTCATACGCAAAAATTTTGAGAACTGGAAATATTTCCGAACAGTTTCCGAACAAAAAAAAAATCCTGATTTATCTTTTCTTTTTTTTTTGGTAAGTTTAAATGAGTCTACCTGATTTGAAATAGCCCTGCGACTGGAACACGTGGGTAAGCGAGTTCCACCCGAAGATAGTGCCGGCGAACACGAAGCACTCTATGATTGCCAATATCAACGCAACCTTTCTTCTGTAAGACGGAAACTTAATCGCCATAATAGTCAAGGTGTAAATCACTCTTTTACTTGATTAAAACATATATTAACCGATTGATGAAATTTTATGAAAAACATCAAACTTTAAGTTTTTCATAAATGGATTTAAAATTGTCTCGGAACGAGTTTAATTTTATCCATTGATTTTTGTCTGGCTCAGGTAAATACAAAGAAGATGTTTGTATAATGAAGACTATAACGTGTTTAAGGCAACATTGTAGTTAAATCTGACTCATTTGAGATTTATCATACTTTGTAAAATACGGATCACGAGCGAAAACTTTATCAATCGATAGTATATTTGAATTATCAATGGAAAATACTCTGAACAAATCAATTAGGGCGAAAACAGGATGATTTATGTTGCAATGAAACGTGTAATCTTTAGTCTTAGTTTGGTTTCTTCAGATGGTGAAGTTTTACTGTTTCGTGTTGATTCAACGAGGATGACTTTACTTATCTCTAGCCCAGGTTATAAATTCTAATCATAGTTTCTGTTTATGGGATCATCTGACTTTACACTGTTCGAAACAAAACAGTTGAGAAATGAAATGATGATTTAAAATATTTCTTACCATGAGATCAAAATAGCTGAACAAAATTTTAAGGAAACGATTTTTATGTTTTATCTAAAATTAAGTGCAGCGGGTTGATTTTTTTTACATGAAATCAATTTTTCAGAATGAAACAATAATGCTTCCTTGAGCAAATTGAACTGAACTGATATTTATCTGTTGTGCGTTTTTTCAAGAAAGATAATTAATTAAACGTGTGTGTGATTAATTTTTTTAAGCTATATCAGTCATGATTAAATTTATGGGCAGATTTAGGGGAGGAAGGTGTTCGGACCTAACCACCGCTGCCACTAACGAGTTCGACCCCTTCACCAACCAAAGGGTCCATTTGGTATTTTTTACACGACATCCTGTCTCGACCAACTGGCACAAAAATTTATCTAAAGGTGCCTCTGGCAACAGTTTATAATAATTTGGAGGGGGAATAAAACAAGCTCAGTAAAACAAGAAGAGCAACTTACGCCATTAAGTTTTATTTTTTTGCCTATTAATTTTGTTAATTATTAATCACAATTAATCATTTAAAATTAATTTTAATAATCAAAATTAACAAATTTGGTTAATTTTTTTAAAATTTCAAGTAATACAAAGTAACTTTAAAGTTTCAAAAAGAAGAAACTAAAAATTTGGGAAGAAATTTATATCAACTAAATTTTGAAAAATTAGTACTTTGAGCAAACAAAAAACGCAGTTCGCGGTAGCTCACTAAAGATTTAATACCAAAAACATTTAAACTTAGTCGCATAACATGTGGTATAGTAGGTGAGCAACAGCTATATATTGCGTCGAGAAATTTTGTGAACAGATAACTAAATTGGCTGCATTTAGTATGTTTCAAAATCATACAGTTTTGATACCTCGACTACCTCATGGTTCATTCCACGACATCATTTTGGTCGACCAACAAAAGAAACCAATTAAAAAAAAATTTGGGGTATCACGCTATGAAAAACGCAAGAATTTTGTTTAAAAACCTCCAAAACATACAAATTGTACTAGATTGGATACAAGCAATCATAATAATCAAAAACACAAATTATGATTGTAGAGTGTGTGTATATGTGTGTAGGTTTTCTATGCATAGATATGTTTATAAACTGATTTGCTTTTGCTGAATTTTGACTTTTAAAAAACTTAGCAACAGACATTTTGAAAATTTTCAATTATTATTTTTCAGCACTTCCCTCATCACATACCTATTTAAAAAAAGGTTCAATTGAAGTTTTATCTATGAACAACAAATCCAAATCTAACAACCGCTGTTGTCTGCCGTAATCAAAAAATCTAACAATTACGAAAAATTTAGTTGTTTGGTCAGTGTTTGTAATTGAAGTTTTCTTTGTAGTTTTTCTACTGCTTCGAAACTGCTCGGGTTGCATTCCTTCTTAAACAAACTTATTACTGCTCGACCATTGTACTGATATTCCCCGCCAACTTAAGCTCATTTAGGTTTTTCGTTATAAGCTGGAAAAGTAAAGCGGAGCTAGTTTTCGTTTGAAATCAGACGTTATTTTTACTAAGTCGGTTGCCTTTTTTTGCTATGTATGTTTTCGTAATTTTACTAACTCACTTAAAAAAAGTAATTTTTTATAAGATGTTACACGGTAACAGAACCGAATATGATATTGTCAAAAGCATTGTTCCATTTATCGATACCTCTGATCAAATTTGTACTCAGGTTTTCTTTGTCCGCTTACAAAAAAGCAGATAAACTAAATAAATCTGATAAATTCGAGTCTTATATCGAACTAAATCCCTCCAACTATTAATGCGTACGCAGTTGAAAATGGCTTTTTTTTTGTTCACACAAAAATTTGTATTCACAATTAATAATTATAATAAATTGTTTCCAGTATAGGTTCACATTGATCGTTATAAATTGTATGAATGACCACTTGAAAATACCCAGTCTAGGAGATTAGACAATTTCTGCTTGTTTTCAGACGTCTTAAAACAATTGAGTTTTATGAGTATTTCTATCGGATTGATCGACGCGGCAATTGGTATATTCCTCTTCTATTGAAAGTCTTTAAAATTTTTTCGTTTATTTATCAATTTCAGCAGCTACTTGTTTGTTAAAAATTTTTCTCTCAAACTTAGAAAATATATATATAAATATGTTTTTTGTTCTCTCATCCCCGTGGATAAATTTGTTTGAAAAGCCTGCGCCATTTAGTGGTGATGGGCATCTCGTTCATAACCGATGTTGGACCATAAGGCTTGTCCTACAAAGTTATTAACTGAATTTATCGTTGGCGGAATAAGTACAAAAACCCGGCATTTTATTCAAGTTAGTGTAGCAAGGTAAAAAAAATTGCAAAAAATTCACACTTTCATATGCCATTTTTTAGAAAAACGGAAATCAAAAACATCTTGATTAAGTAAAAACTGACGAGAAAACCAGAGCTGACAAAAAGTAATTGAACAATAATGAATCTCCAACATAACTAATTTTGAGCTTGCACTTTGTTTTCAAGTTTGTTATAACCTAAATTTTTGAGCTGATAAAGTACGCTAAATTATGCAGTACCACTCAGTATTGATCCAAGTTTCAAAATATATGACAAAATGTTTGCGCTCGGGTTGTTATTTTTTCCCCAGAAAAAAATCGACTTTTAAGTTAGTCATTTTTGCGGAATTTTTATAACAATCTGATTGATACTGATGTCTTTGATAGTTTTTAACTAGGAAACGAACGGTGGTTTGTAAATAGTCACTTCGGCCTACTTAGGACAATAAACAGGCAAAATATTTCATTCTTTAGCGCGTGGGTGGAAAAATTCCGGCTCAAAAGTTTGTTCAAACTGAATTAAGACTATTTGTCGCTACTTTTACGCTACTAAAGCAACAATTTTTGTTTGTATTTTATACGACGTAAGGGGGAAAACCTTTCTGTAAGTTTTTCATCGTTATTCATTGAAAAGCTTTTAACAATCATAATCAGTATCCAGCGCGAATCCACATAGAAAAAGTCGTGGATGTTTCACATTCGCTCTGCTGATATATTTTTAAACTCATGCAAAAAAAATTTTAGAGAATGAAAAAAAGAAACTCGGCCAATTTATAAAAAAACGTTTATTGCCCACTTATTCACTAAAATTTTAACTCCGGAAAACAAAACTCCTACTGAACCATTAGAGTTTATTTCGTTTTTTTTTTTGGAAATTCAACATCGTTGATGATTCAAAAATATAATTTTTCCTTATCAATTAAGCGGTCAAAACTCTATCAATACGAATCAACTAACTAATTCCTTAGGTACTGTTCATAAATTTTACATGTAGTAGTTGGTTTTCTTTCGCTAAGAACAACAATTTTTGGAAAAGGCTACAAGCAAAACTTATGCGAAATTGACTTTTTTGGATTTTACATTTTGATTGCAAAAAAGTCTCTGGAATAACACTTTTGATGATTATTGCTGCATTCTTTTATTGAAATGATCTTTTAGTGGTATTTTCGGTTTTATCCTTTTGTGGTTTCTGTTAAACTAATTGCTACTTAACAAATTCTCCCTGTGAAGATTGGTTAAGTAATTTTAAATCTCAAGACATTTGAGAAAATTGCAATAGTGACTGCATTAGCAATACAATTGAGGTTTAATGACAAGCTCTGTGATATAAACAAAATAAATTTCCATCAAATAGCTGCAAAAATTTTTGGAAACAAATCATCATTTCAAATTTAAAGAGGTTCTTCGAACTAAGCCATTGAATCACAAACAAATTTTGAAAAAAAATTAAACATTTGAAAATAAATGTTTACTTGAAGAGTGTATATTAATTATCATTAACAGTGAAATTTTTACCTAGCCTAAAAACACAAAGCAAGCAAGGTTTAATTTTTGTTGACTACAGATTTGCAATTGTTTTATTCGAAGCCATAAAATAGAAAACAGAAACCTTGAAAGTCTTATCAAAACTTTTGCAGGATATGCGATTTCTCGATTATTTGGGATATTTGTATTCCAGTTACCTTTTTGAAATTCTAAAAACAAATCAAAACTAAAATTGAAAAGCGAACGTCAGTTTTGCAATAAACACTGAAATTGTGTACTTTGTAGTGAGCGTAAAAATTAGACATGAATAATTTGGCATATGCTAAGTGATAGTATTTGAAGGGATCAAAGTTAGTCACTCGCAATGGAGTTCCATGGATAATAATTGATTATATTGTCATTTCATAGTCAGTATCTATATAGTTACAAAAATAACGAGTATAATCTATCAAAATTTGATTATGATCCTATATTTTCTAATCAATGTAATCCATTTTAATCGATTATAATCGAAATTAATCCATTAAAAGTGGACTACAAGCATAATGTTTTTAGTCACAAAAATCTTTTATAGAATAATATAATCGATTATGATGTGTTTTTCTTGAAGAATTTATGAGTTTTGCTATTTTTTCTTCAAAGTTATCTCATTTCCTGTTTCGTGCAGTTGCTACGTATTAATTTTCATGAATTTTTACTTTTACTTATATCTAGTTAATTTTTCTCTACTTCACGTCACTTCGTAAACTGCATCACCTCTTTTAACGAACCCTTCCCCAATTCACCTCCCCCCAGTTTACCCCATATCAAATTACCCCGCATCCCATTCAGTGGAACAAAAAACTTGGGTGAGTCGGTTAAAATGGAGAAAGGGGTAAATAGGCGTTGATCACACTGAGTAAACCCCCTCCCCTTTTCCCTGCTCAATGGTAATTAAACTGGGGGGCTGTAAATTGGGGGGCTGAGTTTGGGGGTAAACTTTAGTTAATATGGGGGTGTGCGTAGGGATAAACGTAGGGGAGTGGTTTAAATGAGGATGTGAGTGGGATGGGAGGGCGCAAATGCGGATGTGGGGGGCAAAGTGTAGCGGGTTAATTTGAGTAGTTTTAGATTGCGAGTAAGGCGTGAGTAACGCAGAATTATTGCAAGTTTTGCGAATGATTTTACAAATAATCTAAAGATAATAGTCCGTTATAACCAATTATAATGGATTTTAATGGATTGTGTTTTTTCGAAAATAATCGACTATAATGACATTATAATCGATTTCGTGGTCTAAATTTGCAGATATAATGGATTATCAAGACACCATTTTAGACAACAATTTTCCATTGTAATCGATTATTATCTATTGAACTCCGGTGCGGGCAAGATTTTCAAGTTTAACAAAACGAACCCAACTATATACGTAACCAAATAGCTGTATCCTGATAAAAACTGCGCAGCGTATTGGAAAGCAAGTTTGACAAAGATTTTTTTTCTGCAAAAATTTATTAACTGAAAAGCTCGTAAGCTTCTTGGGGATTCATTGCGGTATCAGATAAAAACATCTTTAGTCACGATTCGGACTCCAAAAACAAATATCAAAAAGTTCTAACAGTTTAAGAAAAACTGATCTGATTTCTTATACTATTTCACTCACAACTCTTGTGAAGACGAAACTGAGCGTTGATTTTGTCGAATGAATTTGATTTAGAACCTAGGTTGGTGGTTTTTAGTATCTTTTATATATATATATATATATTTTTTTTTCTCTTCAAATAATTCTTGTAATGATGACTGTAGTCGTTATTTTCTGTGATGCTTGCCATGCAAATTTCTCTTTAATCATCGATCTTTGTCTAGGTTGTACGCGCAATATCAGGCATTTCTTGAGAAATATCTCGGCAGCACCATCCAAAATTGAACCTCAATGAGTAAATTGAACCTCAAACTTCAAAAAATAATTATTAATAAAATTCAATATTTTATGTAAATTGAAACAACTACGATTTGAATCGTAATACAAACAAACATTTAGCAATCTACTACAACGATTTTGAAGAATCTAAAACCAAATTGTTGCGAGAGCTTTGATTCTAATGTATCCAAATACAAACTAGGCCATAAATAAACTTCAGTTTTTTTGGTTACTAAAAATTAAACGGCGGGTACACAAATGATAGCTGCGTCCCTAGAATACGGATATATATTTTTTCAAAATGACCAATCTGAAAAAAAAATCTTTTTTGATTTGTAACAAATTGGTATTACCTATATTTCATTCATGCTTTTTCTAGGAAAATAACTATGATTTTTGTCCATCATAGATGAAGAGATTATGCAGAGACAATTATTGGATTAAATTTTACCATACAAATGATCTTTTGATTATAAACAAATAATTATGATAACCGTTATAAATTTACTAAATCTCACCAAAAAGCTAACAAACATTTCAGAAAAGGATGCTAACATAAAAAAATCAAATAAATCAAATTTATTACTCTCATAATGATTATTTGTTAAGAGTTTGTTCGTTCATTTCTTCAAAAAGTTTGTATAACTTCAATTTTTGGTACTACTAAAGCGAATTTCAAATTTTTGTTGAGAAAAGGTTAGAAAAAAATAATAACAAAGAAAAAATAATAACGAACAAATCCCGCCCAATGACCTTTACAAAAACCATTTATAATTTCATATTACAAACGAATTTTTCTAACTGTTCATGATCAATAGTTCTGTGATTCTCTCGTTCTTAGTATCTTCTCAAACTTGCTCGTCCGCAATGTTCTCCTCTGCCTGTATGGGTAATTTGGGGAAGTCGACTTTGTTGTCTTTCGGTTCTGTGCCCTCTAGTTCGGCTTTGGACATCTCGTAGACGATGGCTGCTCCAAATGAGTCACCCATCACGTTGATCATTGTTCGGAACCGATCTCTACAACACGAAACAAATAAGATCAATTTAAAATTCAATTCCCTCCCCCAAAGCAGTTTTTTTTTGGGGGGGGGGGATATGCGAACTTTGTTTTAAACTGAAACTTTCAGCCAATGAGACTCGAGTATTTTAAACGCACCGCTCAGCAAGTTTACTCCAAAATCAAACGGTCGACAGCTCTCTGTGTATAAACTGCGGCTTGCTCAAAGTAACAGCGGATTGTCAATAATCTTGAATTTCTCTCTGTGTATTTGCGGGTAGGGGGACTATGTTTATAATGAGGAAAAAGCAAATTTCTTAATAGTTTTTTGATGTTTCCTCAATGAGATTAAATGAAAACAAACTTGCCTTTTTGGAAGCCTCTTAAGTTTCAGTTTTAAAAAATTAGTTTCAATCTTTGGACTGACTGCTTTTTGAAAATCAAATTTGAAAAAGTATATAATGGGTGGTGGTTTTTTTTTCAAGTGAAAATGGACAAAAAAAGAAACCACATTGGCTAGATTTTTTACCAAATTGAAGCCTTTTGAAATCTTATTACGGTTGCAATGATAAACTCCAAAACTTCTTCGGAAATCAAACTAATAAGTTATTCTAAAAATTTTGCAAAAAAATTGAAGACATGCCTTAAGAAAATTGCTGGGAGAGGTGGTGAAGTGGTTACGTCTCCGCCTCTCAAACGAAAGGTCAGATGTTCGCGGCCCACCATGATCTGTGCTCGTTGCTTGAGGGTGAAGCAACATTACCCAGCCCAGAAAAATAACCAGAAAAATTGCATCTAGTTCTTAAACAGAGGCACAACAGCGGTTCGCCGTGAAAAGCTGTACAGCTCTTGTCTTGGTTTTTCCCCCGTGGATAAATGGTCTGAATCTTAATATCACAATTTTTTTCAACAAACATGATTTTGTCTGCTTTCATTTTCTTTTTATTTGATTCAATTTCAGTACATTATCATCAACACTACATTTTTCTCTTTTATCGGTCGTAAACGAGGTGCCATGTGCCATCTTTTCCATAATTTATAACCTCACTATACTCGAAATACTACACACTAAGACGCCATAAAATCAGCAATTCCCGTCGTTTTCTATCTTCCTGCAAAAAAATCCATTCAGATACCATAAATCAAAAGAGAGAACAAATGACTTTAGATTCCAAATATCAAATGACTGAAATCTCAGATTTTCGTTAAAATTCGGAAAAAAATGTTTCTCTAAATGTAAAAAAAAACCATTACTCTTGAGAAATCTTTTCAGCAAAAACTACTTGCTTTCAAATTCAACAGATCAGAAAACAATATAACCTTATGCCAAAAAGTTTGCTGTTGAATAAAAGAATTAAAAATAAGAAAGATAATATTTTCCCGTTTTCAGTTCTCTAAATTTTGAACTTTTTGGCTAATCGCGCATTCTATAATGTGAACCTTCACACAATTTTTTGCATTTTAGTTTTTAAAAAGAAAACCAAACAAGAATGATATTAAAAGCAGTTAATGTTTATTCAGCACAATCTCTACAAAAAAGGAAACGAATGAATCCGTTCATGAAAATCGACCTCCTAAGCCAATATAGATAAAATATTTTCACATTTTATTCACAATTTTCAAGTCCATTCATCACCAGGTGAAGAAATGAAAACAAGCCAAGGCGCGGTACTATATTCAAAATTGACAAAGCGTTATGAAAAAGAAATTGGCAATTTGCTGCGAAATATTGAAACTCAATCTAATCTTGGGAATGGGGGAAAAAAGAAAAAAAAACAGATATGCAAAAGATTATTATGTAGGTTATTAGGTTATTATGTAGAATATAATGTAGTTTCTATGTTAAACCTATTCAGCTCAATCAAACTATGACTTAAAGCATGACAAGTGCTTATTCTTCTGCCATATCAACAGATAAAACGATATTTTTAACAAAAATTATTTTAAGGAAAAATATTTTTAGCATAAAAGTTTTTTTCGTGGTTCAATTTTGATTTTGACTAAATTTTTTAATCGTTTTCTTTTTATTAGTTAAATTCTTTATTAATCCAAATTTCAAAGAATGCTTGTGCGCGGGATTGTCTTTTTCTCCAGACATTCATCGACTTTTTAACTAGCAACTGTTTTTTTATACAGCCTAAAAATATTGGTTCCCAGCACTCAAACTTTGAAACTGTTTGTACCTGTGATCGTTTTCGAAAAACTATAATGGTTTAGTTTTGGGACCTTTTTGTAGACTATAACTCAATTTGGCATAAATAACGCACACCTTAATTCGTCAAAGAAAGCTGACCAAACGCCATAAAAATAAAAGCGACAACGGATATTTAAGCCATTCTGAAGTCAATTGAGGCAAAAATTTGCATATTATATGAAACCTTATTGGACGCAAATCATTTATAGTTAACATAGCGTTTGGTCAGTAAATTTTAAAAAACCTTTCAATCAAAAATGATTAGATCGACATTAAAGGTTGTTCAGAACAGGGTTTGTCCTGATGCAAGCAATCATATTGTTCTTTAGAAGTAAAAATTGACGCGACTTATAGAAATCTCTTCCTTAAGTTTATTTATTGACATTTAAAATGTCTACCATGTGTTTTTGACAATTTTTGTTTTAAATGCAAGTTAATTTCAAACTGTTTTTCAAACTTGCTTATGTTGCTGAGGAACGATGTAAGCTTTATAAATAGGCCAAGCTGTAGCTAGAGAAGCAACGTTTGGTGCGTGTTTGACCGATGACTATTGAGACACACCTTAAAACATGCCAAAATCAACCTCCAAAATAACCAAAAAATAATGTGGAATTCAGGAGCAAATTCTACAACAATCAAAGTGATTTGACACTAAATTCTATTGAGATTTTTTTCCGTTGAGTACAAGTTAGGTGAAAAAATATATACTGCAAATTATTAAATAGACCAAAATTATAATATATGCCTCAATTCAATTCGATACAAATTCTGAGACGGAAATCTCCCTTCACGCAATAATACCACAAAATATATGGCACAATAGCTATCCAAATTAGACCGAATTTGCCATCATTAAACTCTCATAACTTAACGAAAATGAAATACCTTTTTTAAATTTGAGCGCAGTAAAACATTGCCTTACGAATGATTACAAAGCTAGACAACATATAGTTAGAAAGAGCCAAGGATTGCAAGCAAACAGAAAAAATAACGATTTGTTGTCTGAAAAATGTCAACTGTCAAATTTCGAAACATTTTATGGCTCTTTGAAAGCGGCTTAAAATTTTAAAACATTTGTGAGTGACTTTTTTTGCTGAAATTTCACTTTTGAAAGTTCTGATAATTTCAGGAACAATTTATGATTGATCCTTTTTATATTGAAAACTGGATCAACAAGTAAAATTTTATTCCGCTAAGAAATCTGAAAACTAAAACCTACTTCAAAATTAGAAGTCGATCACGATTTTCGTAGTCTCTACAGATTCGTACTCGGGGGTAATTTTTGAATGTTTTATTGTTCATCAGTGGAGTTTGTCTTCTTTTTTAAGAAAAGAAATGAAGTGAACTTAAAAAGTAAATTAGAAAAAAAACCTTGAAAAGTCTAGCTTGAACATGGACCAATTCTAAGGTTATTCCTGAAAAAATAATCAAGAACTATATAAGAGTCCTTTCTTTGATCATCAACTCTAAGAAGTAAATCAAAAAACGTTGAAAAGACTGAAGTTTGTCCAGAGAAAAAAACCACGACGAGCACAAATTTTCCGTCATTTTCTTCAAAAGTCAGGACAAAAAGTGGCAGTTTGGCCTCGTAATAGTGGAATATGATGATAAAATAATATTTACAAGTATATAGATAGGAGGACTTGAGCTAGTACTCACAGGAACCAGTCGATGGTGTAGATGAGGGATATCTGTTCGGTGGGCAGACCAACAGCAGTGAACACCAGTATCATGGTCACCAGTCCAGCAGAGGGAATACTGGCTGCGCCCACACTCGCCGCAATACTCGTGATGCAGATGGTCAGCATGTTGCCCAAGTTCATGTCTATGTCGTTCAGCTGACATAAAAAACAACAGCTATTTATATCACGCCTCTAAGACCCCCCACCCCATGAAATTAAAACAACAATTTACGGAGTTACTATTCATTTTACGAGTTTATATAAGCGCACATACCCCCCTTATCTCTCTCTCTCTCTCTTCCCACTAGATAATAACATCAATTTACCATCAAGTTGTTTTCCTTTTACGATGTTGAGAATGTAAGCTTTTACAAGAGAACTTGACAAAACCTCTGCGCACGCCGCTGAAAATCACTTATGTACGTGCCGCTCAGCTCTTTACGGAGAACTCCTGCTCTGCCTTTAATCACAAACTACATGCAATTAGTTTAAGGCACCACTACGGATCTTAGTTGGCCTCGAACCGCCGACCTATCGACTGAGAGTCGTATGAATTAACATCTTGCTTGACCACCATGTCGAATAATTCTGTTACCTGTGCGATGAATATTGCAGTGAGTGCCTCGTAGAGCGCAGTGCCGTCCATGTTCACAGTGGCCCCGATGGGGATGACGAATCTGGTCACTCTGGCGTCTATCTTGTTCTTCTCCTCCAGACAGTGGAACGTCAGAGGCAGAGTCGCAGTGCTACTCACAAACATAACTGAACATCATGCAAAATTTTATAAGAGAACTTGACAAAAACTCTGCGCACGCCTCTAAAAAGGCCCTGATAACTGCAAAAAAATAGATCTTTTCCATGGATGATTCAATTCTGTTGCATTAATGATACGGTTATCTCAGAGATGTTTTCTGATCAGAGTTTAATTACAGTGTGCAGAGTCTGGTCCTGAATACTGGAACTTTACTGAAACAATAAAGAAGCCGAACACACGAACTAATAAGAAAATTTCTAATTAAAACAAACGGTTTTGGGATTTCCAAAAAAACTCAATTTTCATAACATTTCTCAGACATCGAAAAGGGATTTAATGCACACATTAGGCTGATGAAGCACAAAAACTTAGAACTATTGTCTCTAAAAAAATTTCGAAAGAGTGAGGGTCATTAGTTCTTAAAAAATTCAAAGTTTTTGTAGATTTTCTTTGCCGCCACATGCAACTTTTAAACGGTGAAATGATAATTTGGCAATTTTTGTTTTCTTTTTTGGCACAAGTCACATTAAAAGAAAAACTGCATCTTTAATGTTTCAGTGAAATTCCAGTACTGAACCAGACTCTGTACACTGTCACTTCAACTCTGATCAGGGAAAACCTCAGAGATAAAGATCATTAATGCACCAGAATTGAGTCATCCATTAAAAAGATATAGATTTTTTCAGTATCATAGTTTTTATTACAAATTGAATAAAACAAAATTTATCACAAAAAGGCAAATCGCAGGAGGTAGAATTGAATACGTGAGCGAATAGGGGAGGGAGTATGCTTTAAAAAACTGACAGCCCGCATCCAGTTTCAAGTGTTTATAATCAGTTATATTATGAATTAAGGACCGGTCTTACTAAAGTTGAGAAAAAAACGATTTTAAGCAATTAATAATCGATTATAGTCTCTCTTTTTGAAATCTAATTACGATCATTTAAAATATATTTAATCGATTATAATCGATTACTGATCGATCTGTTCTCCGATACATTTATAATCGATTATTGTTATCCCGATTTCTAATTGATATGTTGTTAACAAAAAAAAATCCATTTTTACCGATTATAATCGATAATAACCCTTTTTATGTGCCCATTTTGTATTGGACCTTGCATCTGAATTGCTTAAAGTTTATGCTTTTTGTAGACGTTGGTTTATATGAAAAATGAGAGGTTTTCAATTCAATTCAAATTCATAACTTTTTTATATCACTTTTCTTCACTGACGTTGTTTCACGATGACCACTCAAAAAATTTTAAGCCACAAAATATTACCACATTGCTTAAGTTTCATGATTTTATTTCACCTACCGCAAGAGATTTTCAACTAAATTGAAAGGATTTTTATAAAAATTTTGTTTCGTAATAAAACTTTGTGTTCAAACGAACCAAAGTGTGACAAGACATTTTTTTAGAGATTAATTGACGCAAAATTAGTAATCCATCGGATGTTTTTAAAATATATTTTGGTGCGCGAAATAAAAGATAATAATTGTTTCTCAACGATTAAAATTGATTTAGAGAGTTTTTCGTATAAAAACAAATATGATCGGTTGTAATAGATTAAGATCTCTTGGAAAATATCAGGGTTCTAATCGATTTAAAATTTTCTAAAGAACTAACTAATTATAATTGTCAAAAAATCATAATCATAATCCGATATATAATTGGTTGCTTACGCCTAAATTGGGATGCGTGTAGATTTCGTTTAGGCTGTGAGTGTAGGAGAAATTGTTGAAAGGTTTGCAAATATTTTTGCAAAAAATATATAGAGATTTTAGTCCATTATAATCATATATAATGGAATTTAATTGGATTATAATCCATTATAATGAAAATTAATGGATTATGATTTTCCAGAATTAATTGATAATAATGAAAATATAATCAATTTCATGGTCTAAATTTGCAACAATCATTAATTATAATGACAACACTTTAGACAGCACTATTCCATTATAATCGATTATTATCCATAAATTTTCGGTGCTGGATGTTAGAGTTCTGCATTTCTATACATTGCTGTTTAAGTGTTTGAACACAATTATTTTTTGGCAACGTCAATCCGGGTATATGTTTCAGACCAATTTTGAACAACTAAAGAGCCGCTTTTGTCGGAACTCATTAATGTGATGTTATAACTATCAATACCCAGAGCTCAATCAAGTAATCAAAAAAATTTTCACCTGTTATCAATTTTTGACCAATTTGTAATCACTGATGCAAGGAAAATATCCAGTTTCAATTAACGCGTATCAAATAGGAGAAAAATAATCGGGCTCAGAAGTCAACCAAACCTGATATAAGGTGAACCAAACTTGCTAACTCATCCAAATAAGGTTTGAAAAGACGAACTGCATTTTACATTAAGCGTGGGGGAAAATTTTCAAAAAAAGTTGAAAAATATTGACACTTTAAATCCAAATATACTCCAAACACTTCTCCGGACAGACGGATTTAAATAAAAACACTGCTGAAGGGAGGCTGTAAGTTTTTTCTGTTAAGGCTGTCGGGGGGGGGGGGGGGGGGCTATAATAGGGATGACGCGTCTGATCTTTCCAGCATGTGATGTACCTGGATGCAGTTCCGAATGCCGTCATCATGGCCGGGAGCATGTTGCGGATGAAGACGAGGGGGTTCTTCCTAGTGAACGCGAAGTACAGACCCACCAGCGTCACACAAAAGTGAACCGAAAGACCTAACAATAAACACGTATAACAACAATAATACAGTGAACCTAGTAAAAAACACATACAATTTAGTCCAGACAAATTAGTCAGTATAAAACATCGCAAAATAACAGCTTCACTGCTGTATTAAGAGTATTAAGAAAAAAAATTATTTTTGAGTTATCTTGCCGCTCCTTCCATTCTAAAGTTTCAGTGCTTCCAGGTTAAACATTTTCAGCATTACATAAAATGAAAATTTTTCTGCTCAGACAAGTTTGAAAACGGACCATTTGGGCTCAGGACTTTCTCTCAGGCTCTACTCTGAGAGTTATTTTTGCCAATATCATACTAGTCTACAAATTTGCGAGCCCGGTAACAATTTATTGTTATAATTAATATTCAGTTTTCATAGTAAAATTTTCACACTGCTTGAGTGAAAAATGAGTTGCCAAATGGATTCGAACCTGCTATGACTGTGAATATGAACATGCCCATCACTTTTCCGGTGGAGGCGAGGTCTTTGATAGTCAGGATATTGGAGACGATCAGGAAGAAAATACCCACGGGGGAGTACCTAAGCAAATAGTACCTAAGCACCCCTTCTTGTTCGGAAAAAGAAATGTTGCTGTAGTCTCAGCCGATACAACTTGTATTAAGTGACGTCGTTAAGACTTCTTACATAATTGAGATTAAAAGTAAACGTAGGAGTAGAAGTAATAAAAACTTTCTAAATGTCATGGACAACTCAAATACTTGATTGAATTTTAATAAAGTCAAGTGATTTCTCCATGTTTCTACAAGGAGCAAGGCATCCCTGAGCTTATACAGCATACTTTTTTCAGCGACTGATAATTTTTTTCCGTGAATAATTTTTTTCAAAGCGTATAACTCATGAGAACTCACCGATCTACTTAACAATGCCCCTTTCAAGAACGGGGATGTTGATGAGTAAATTAAGTTAGTCGAGTTTTCGACCAATCATAATGCAGCAAAACTAGAATTCTCAGAAGAAAGCCCCGCTGCAAATTTACATTAGTTTTTATTAGTAGGGGTGTAGATTGTTCGGTAGATGCTAACTTACCACATGAAGAAGAGGACTAGCTTCATGATCATGTCGTTCAGGGCGGAGATAAGGGTGATGAGGGGTTGGGACACCTCCTTCATCTTAGTCATCACCACCCCGATGCAGATGCAGAACGTGATCAGACCTACAACACATCACACAAATATCACACCTGAGCTACGAGGAAATCACAATCATATTCAACATTTTAAAAAAAAACAACCATTATTACCAGCGAAACATTTTTTTATTAACAGCAAGACAAATGAACTCTTTTTTCTTCACTTCGCGGGTTGACGCCGCAGCGATTATTATGGCTGCTTCAGGCTCTTATCAGTGGCCAGTTTACACAATCAGGACGGAAACATTGAAAATGAAAAGCTAGCTCTGAATTAGATCTGAGTTACATCCGAAACAGCTCTGGTTTTTGAAATTACAGCTCAACTATTTTTGTATCAGCCCTAGTTTTACGAGTTTTCAAAGAGGAAAGCTCCTAGTCGATTATCATACTTAAACTTGAAAAATCATTCCGTACGCCATAAAGTTGATGCTCATATGAAGTGCGGGAAATTTAAAAACTGCCGAAAACGCTTGAAAAATAAGTGCAAAACTCACTAATTCAAGGTTTCAAAATTTTCTAATCGACTGGGTATATAACAACAATAAAAACCAAAAATGTTTTCGTAGAAAGATATGAAATTAAATTAAAGGGTGTTATGAAAACACTTCTTTGATGGTTTTTCATTTTTTGTATTTATTCGCTTGCTATTCGTTTGTACTCATTCTACTGTTTTCAAAAACACGGCCAATGCTTATTGCTAGAAAATAAGATGGCTGAAAAAATAACTTGAAATTTTGATAGCAGAGTAAAAATATATATACAAGGCTAATTGTATATCAAGGTAAAGCCCTAAAGGTTCCAATTATGTCTCTTAACTGGTCGCGAGAATCACTATGAATTTTGAACTGCCAAAATATCAAAAATTATGTTCTAAAAATTGAGTAGTAACAGGAATTAAAATGAAAATTACGTTTGTATCAATTCGATTTTGAACGAATATGAGTTCGGGATATATTGCCATACATAAATACTGATATGGCCAAAACAATACATGCACCTGATTCTAGTTATTCTAAAACTTTTATATTGATAGATTTTTAGAAGTTTTTTTTTACAAAAATGGGTTGTTTGTTTTGTAAATAGTATAAAAATAGTATTTTTTAAAATAGCAAAAAATCAATGATTAAGTTATAAAACTTGTTTTGGAGACAATTTTATACCAAAACAAATTCTGTTGTATGTGTAGCTGAGAACAAAATAAAACTATTAATAACTGTGATTTTAAATCTTTTGAACAACTTTGTTTTATTTAAGAAAAATTGATTTTTTTAAAGTTTTTTTGCTCTATATTAGATGGATGGTCTAGGCAACCGCAAAGCTTTTTCTAGCAGTGTGTTTTAATAATTTGCTCACAAACATTGGAACTGAAAGACAAAAAAAGACTGCTCGTATCAGGGCAAACCCCTGAATGTTTTGACTGTCTTTCAAGGTCTATGAACCAGTACTCGCGTTTAAAAAATGATAAATTTTTTTAAGGTCTAAGAAAAACAATTCAATCGCCAAAAAAACGACAAAAAATACGTAAATTTTGATTTTTTCTTAAATCATTCCCCACACGCCGTATCAAATTCAAAGTGATGGATTTTGTTCTCAGTAACGTAGAAATTATGACAAATAGCTTGTTTCAACCAATTTGGAACGATTTCTATGAGGAAAACCTCCGCACACGCGTTAATTGCGAGTTAATTGTCCCAAATTGACCAAAATGGTAGTCTTTAAACCCTCATAAATTTATGAAACTGGCCACATGGGAAATATGTTTTCGTATGTAAGCTCAGGATAACAATACTTTTCGAATATAAACAAATTCCGTCAAAATGCTTAGTTAAAAAGTCGAAATTTGTCTGCAAAAAAAACCCACCCGAGCACAAATATTCCGGTACTTTCTTTCTGAAAGTCGGAACAAACGTCTACTGGTAACTTCAAATAGGTTTCTTCACATTGGAGAGTTAAATTCAATTGTTTTCTCCGAAACTTCTCAAAAACATGCTTACTTAGACAAATGAATCTCTTGGGCAAATGAATATTTAGGCAAATCGTTATTCATACTCTCTCGGACTGGAGTCAAAAAACGAAATCGCTCTCGCTCAAGTACCACTCCTTTTGGTAATTGAAACGAAAATTTTAAATGCAAAAAGTGACCTTTGAAGAAAATTTTGCGTCGAATTTGACAACCTCAAAAAATTTTGTAAAAAATTGAGCTTTATTTCAAATAAAAACGCTAATTCTCTTGATTCGGCTTGAAATATGACATCACTCTCAGAAAAAACTGAATGTTTTGCTTTTTAAACACAAATGTAGCAAAAAGCGGATCATTTTGAGACTTTATTCGTTTATTTGCAGAAAAACACAGGATAAAATTTCAATACTTGAAACGAAACTGTTTTTTGATATTTAAAAAACATTAATTTCTTATATAATTCCAAAGATTGTATGACTATCTGGGTTTGCATCTTTCTACGCTATATTTGCACCACATTTACATTAATTAAAGAAAACAGCTCGGATCAAGGAGAAGCTCTGAATGTTCCGACTGCCTTTTAGGGTTTATGGAGCAGTAATAACATTAAAAAATTAAATGTTATAATACAAACTGAAAAGAAAATTCTAAATTTTGAAATTTTTCAAATGAAAATCATTCCCCCACACGCCAAATAAAGTACAAAAGGATAGATTTTGCTCATTGTAACAAATCACTTATGGCAAATAAGCTTTTTTCAACCACCAATTGGAACAATTTCTAAGACGGATTAAATCTCCGCTTACACGTTAATAGCGCGAAGTATATCGCGCTTTATTTGTCCCAAATTGGCCAAAATGGCAATCTTTAAACCCCCATAATTTTATGATCACAGGTGAAATTTTTTTTTCAATTTTAAGCTCAGACAACAATACTTTTCGAATGATACAAGAAAACCTCCGTCAAAAATGGCTAGTTAAAAAGTCGAAATTTGTCTGAAGAAAAAAAAACCACCCGAGCACAAATATTCCGTTACTTTCGTATCGAAAGTCGGAACAATGAAGTGTTGACTTGAAGTAATGTTTGACAAAATTTCTGAGTGAAATATTTTGTTCTGTAACGTGTAAGAAAGAAAACATTGTATTAGGGCTTTTCCCTCGCATAGTCAAATATTTGTGATTACTCGTCATAGAGAGTCGTATGATTAAACACATTGGAAGTTCGCTCATCCATCATTCAATTTATACCAAAAACTTCTAAATAGTTCTCTTAGTAATAAAAAAGAACGGTCTAAATACTTTGTTTTTCAGTTTTTTGATATTTGCATGCCATTTGTTTGAAATGAAATCAAGTTTTGACATTAGTTTACAAATAAGCTACATAATTATTTTCCATGTCTCAAAAAAGTTGCTGATTAATTTTGGAAGTTAACTTCCGTCGTTTTTCCCAATTACATAAACCGATTGGAAAAATTAACGCGGTACAAAATGTTTTTAAAAGATGTTTTTTTTTTCAATTACAATAGCTGCTTGCGCATCAATCGGTTATTTTTTCTTTCAATCGTCAGAATTCCTAGCAAGAAAAAGTTATTAAGTTAACCTTAAAATAGTGAATAGCGAGCGCTGACGTACTTTATCATGTGAGATGAATTATCATCGGAAGTTCAGTTCTCAAAACATTTTCGATATTCATTTCAAATTAGTTCATTTTCCTATCAAAATAAACATCCTTCAAAATCTTCTGACAGTATATGCTAATTATCTATTCAAATATTCTCCTCTTTTGAGATCTACTCATGTACCAAAAAAATTTGGCCGAAAGCTTAGGAAATCTACTTATAAAGATTTTTTCACGACGTTTTTAAAGAAATATTCAATTATAATTTTGGAAAAATTTTCTTAGAATTTGTGTTTTCGGCTTATTTAAACCCATTTATTAACTCTGCCGACATTTTATTTTGAGAATTTGTAATTTCGGCTTTTTTACCATTCATAAGTTCTGAATCAACACTGAATGGAGTCATGACGCAAATTTAATTTGCCCCCGGTGCTTATCAGAAACGAATCAATAAATCTGCAACTACCCCGTCATTTTTGCTGCTCTAACCAACCCCAGGCTGAAAGAATAAAGAAAAAACTTAATTTAAATTATAGATACCAGTAATCATTATGCATAGAAAATGTTAAATTTAGGCGTGGTGATTATTTATAGATTTTCTTTACATTTAAAAAGTATACGTACGTTGTAAAAAAAACATATATTTTGAAAACGTCTAAAAAACGGAAAGTTCAAAAATGCTTCTGTATCAATTGGTATTAATTTGAATACGTTGGGTGGCAACACAAAGCAAGCATGATTTCGTTGTCTAGCAAAACGACTTTAAGTTTGACACTGACAATGTTCATTTTTGCAATTTTCATGGAGAAAATCAAGTACAGTTGAAAAACATATGTTGGAGTGACTTTTGCAATATCTTTTCACAATATGGAGAAATTGTTTTACTCTCACTTTTTTTAAAAATTAAATTTCAGTCACCAGAAACAAAATCAGCCAGTTTTGATATTAACTTACAGCACCTCTATAGTTTGTAAAATTTAAAAGTAACATCTACAGTTTGCTTTATATCTTTGTTCTTTTTTATACTTGTAGGAACAAAAAATGCATTGAAAGCGTGTTTTAAAAAACGCAATACAAAGACAGTTATCCAAAATGTCATGAAAAACATTTTTTTGAAACAATTAAAATGAATTTAAAAGCATTGGTGTTTTTGTTTTCATTTTGAATTGCTTTTCAGAGCAATTTTTATCCGAACTGAAATGTTTGGCGTCTTGAAGGCAGATGGAAGAAAATCTTCAATCGGCTTTGAATTATTTATTTGAAGTCGCTTCCTTTTAATAATATTAATGTGATAGAATGGCGGAGCCTTATACCGGATTTCATAAAACCGGTTTTGTTAGTTTAAAAAAGGCCGGAACGATTTGGATAATAATTTCAAACAAACAAAAACAGAATAAAAAGCAATCGCAGAACAATTTATCAGTATAAAACCTTCTAAAGCAATTTT